AAAAAAAAAGTTGAGAATTTAGAGGGTTAAAATGTTGTGGGGTTGTTAACCAATGTCATAAAACAGCATGTGTGTTACTGTTACATGAGAAACTATCTGCTCTGTAAGCCTTCACCTGAAGTACAATAAAATATTAAAAAAAAATTAAAAAAAAAAGCATCATTTTCTAATTCAGGAAAAAAAAAAGAATTCAGGTAGAAAAAAGCAACATGCATTGCCTTACCTACTGAGATTTACATACCAAGTACATAAGGTATCTCTTTGTCTATGGCAAAAAGTCGCGTATCAATGATAAAGAGAGATGTACAGATAAATATATGCAGATGAAGTTCCATACAATCTCTTTTTTTAAAAATCTCTAATGTTATTATGGATTCATGGTTGGAGTGTTAGAGATGGGATTGTCAAAGGACAGGTCATCCCAGGCAAAACAGACGAAGCCAAAGTTCAAGCTGACAGGACTGTTGGTACAGTTTCCCAGGGTAACAAGCTACTCTTTCTCATCACCCCTCAAGGGCACTAGGGACTGTGGCCATTTCCCGCTCTGAGACTTCCTCTCTTTGGCCTTCTGTTTCTACATGAGTAAAATAAATGAGTTGGATTAAAATCACAAGGAACTACCTAAACGCCCATCAACAGGTGAATGGATAAACAAATTGTATAGCCATACAACGGAATATTACACTCAATAATAAAAAGGAATGAACTACTGATACTCTCTACAACATGGATGAATCTCAAAATCATTATTCTTGGGGGGGAAGGGCCAAACCCCCCCCCAAAAAAAAAGGATGTACTGTTTAATTCCATTTATATAAAATTCTATAAAATGCCAAGTATTCTGTAATGAGAGAAAGCAGATCAATGGTTGCTTGGAAATGGGGGCAGGGGTCAAAGAGAGGGGCGTGAGGGAGCGATTTCAAAGATGCATGAGGATATTTGGGGGTATGATGGATTTGTTCATTAACTTGATTGTGGGGATGGTTTCACAGGTATACACATACATCAAAACTTAACTGTATAGTTTATGTGCCGTTTACTGTATGGCAATTATACCTCAATAAAGCTGTAACAAAAATCTAATCACAAAATTATCTTTAGGTGGCTTACAACTGATTTCCAACTCTCTTTTCTTTTTTTTTTCCCATGATTCCTTGCTGATCCCTTCACCCAACTTCCCTAAAGGAACATTATTGTTGTTGTGTGCTATCAAGTCCATTCCAACTCATAGTGACCCTACAGGACAGAGTAGAACTGCCCCACAGGGTTTTCTAGGCTGCAATCTTTACGGGAGCAGATTGCCAGGTCTTTTCTCCCGCAGAGTTGCTAGGTTCAAACAAAAGACTTTTCGGTTAGCAGCCGAGTGCTTAGCCACTGCCCTACCAGGGCTCCTTAAAGAAACATCATTAACCCCAAGAAGGCAGCAATCCTGGTTTTACCAACTGAAAGTAAGAGGGGAAGCAGTAATCCTCCTAATAATTAAGGACATAGTTCTTCACTCCCCTTTCCCAAGCTCACCAAAATCTTTCTGGAATCAAAAGGACTGAAAGATGACCTCTGTTTTCCATTTTAGGGCCCAAAGTAGAGAAAGAGGAGAAATCAAAATCAAACAAATAAAAACTTTTTTTCCAACAACTTCAACCCTTGTGATATAAAGAACTGAAGCCAAAGATTTTAAAAGTTGTCTGGTTCCTATGGGGTTAACCAGGGTGTTAATTAAAAAAGGGCTGTAACTAAGAAAGAATCGGTCTCCTCCCTCTTTGGAGTGGCACTCTAACAATTAGTTTGATAAGAAAACCAAAACAAAAGCAATCCAGAGACAGAGAGATGTGGATTACTGTTGTTGTTATTAGGTGCCATCAAGTTGATGCCAACTCAGAGGGACCCCACGTACAACAGAACAAAACACTACAGGTCCTGCGCCATCCTCACAATCATCCTTATGCTTGAGTCCATTGTTGCAGCCATTATGTCAATTCATCTCATTGAGGATCTTCCTCTTTGTCACCGACGCTCCACTGAAGTAGTGGATTACTAGGGTGGAAGTACTTTTTATCTGGCTTCCACCTACCACTGCCTAAACTGGCCCAATTTGAAGTTTTGCAATTTCTGACCACTGGTCTACATTCCTGAAAGGTTACATGTGAAACAAATGTAGTACATGTGTGTGTTTTAAGTTGAATCATTTCTCAACTGACTTACTGTGGAAAAGAAATAGACTTGGGATCATTTGATTTCCACCTTTGCTATCGACCAGATTTGTCATCTTGGGCAATCCCTTCTACAAATGAAGAAACTGAGGGATAGAGAGATTTCCTTCAAGGCCACACAGCTAATAAGCGTTGGAATCCACAATTCAAACCCAGGCAGTTTGGCTTTGGAGTCCCTGTACTTAACCACTAGTATATACTGCAAGTTTCTAGAACATGAATTTTCAAACACTTCTGTTAAAGTAATCACCACGGACTTATCTGCTTGGTGACTTTGGATATTGAGTCATAAAAATCACAGCTCTCTTAAGAAAGGGACTTTCAGAACTGTTAGATGATCATCCAGTGAAGAACATGCCCTGCCTCTAGGCAAGGCCACAATGAAACACTCAGGCCTGGCTGGGAAAAGCCTCCTGAGAACAAAGTCCCACAACTTCCTCTCATAGTTCATTCCAAAGCTTAATAGTCAGAAAATTCTTAAACTAAAGCTAATTGAAATCATTTATGCTGTAGGGTAAGCGCCGTTCCTTGGATTGATAAATCCCAGTATTTCCATTTCTATTACTCATTCACTCAACTATTGAATAAACATGTATTAAGCATACCCAGCTGAGCTAAATCGCTGACCCTTGAGAGAAAACGCTCTCAAGTTCTGATAGGCTCAGTCAGGTGATAGTTAGGCTGTATGTTTGCGGGGGACAGGTAGGGTACAGAAAAGAGAGAGTAGACAAGGCAGGCTTCATAAAAGGAGGTGGGTACAGGGTTCCCAGATAGCACCATCCAGTCTACTTGTGGGCTTAACCATATAATGCTTAAATATCCCAACGCAAACTCACCTCAAGCAAACCCAGGGAGAGAGAATGGGTCAGTTCCGAGAGCCATGATGACTAGGAAACCTAACCTTCCTTTCTCTGAACCCTAAATCCGCCTGGAAGCTCCTGGGTGATGAAAATGGTTAACGCACTTGACTGCTAACCAAAAGGTTGGAGGTTCAAGTCCATTCAGAGGCACCTTGGAAGAAAGGCCTGGTGATCTGCTTCCAAAAATCACTCACTGAAAACCCTATGGGGGGAAAAAATAAAAGAAAACCGTGTAAAGCATATTTTTACTCTGACATACCTGGGTTCACTATGAGTCAGAATAGACTCAATGACGACTGGTTTTTAAATCTGCCCGACAACAGTGGCTTGCTATCCTCCCTGAAAAAGCTTTTCATTTATTTAGGCTGTAATTATGGGGACTGAACCTTCTCTTCTGGAAACAAAATAACTTTAGTAGCTGAATTAGAAATTCTCCTGTTTGATGCTACTGAATAGAGAATGGTGAGGATGATGTCAGGCCCTTAGACTAGGAGACACAAAGCACAGATTCTGGTCCTGTTCCATTATGTCTTTACTCAGTATTTACTGAGTACCTAAGCACAGGGGATGCTGAAGAAGACAGTTCCTGCCCTCAGATAATTTACAGTCTATCCAGGGAGATAATGAAGTGCACAAGCCCCTGTACACTGTTGGAGTTAAACTCCAGATGTCAAGGAAGAGCAATGGAGGCTTTCATTGACTGTCACACCTCCACCCTCCCACCCCCGCACATCACTGAACTGCTTACATTCCCTTTATTAAAATGGGGATAATTCCTTCTTAATCTACTTTATGGTGCTATGGAGGCTCAAAGAGACCTCAAAAGGCTAAAGCTTCCAGAAAAGTATAAAGGGCAATTCAAAGTAGAACTGTTGATTGGCGACGTAATGGTGCTAATTTGCATACTTAAAAAATTTTCTTCCAGCTGGGCAATGGGAAAGGGGCCAAGCAAAGGGCTAGACCGGTTGCAACTCTCTAGTATCGGCTCCGAAAAAAAACAGGTACCTCCCAAAGTGGCTTTTGTCCCAGTGTGGAGGGGAACCCAGAGAAATCGCCAAAGTCGCAACCTCAGGAAGTGACACACTTGGTCTCAACCCTACGCCTGCCAGACCAGCACCCGCGACCCTGCGCGTCCTCCCGCAGACTCGCTCTCCCGGCGCTCCTCACCCCCAGCCCCACTCCCAGCCCCACCCCCAAATGCTTGACGGAGCCCTAGAACCGCCCGGGCCGAGTCGCGGGCGCTCCCTCGTGGCCACAGGTGGACAAAGACCACCAGGAGCCCAAGGGGCGGGGCGGGGCGGGGAGGACGAACTAGGGAGAGAGGTGAAGGGGGTTTGGTCTTACGCGTGAACTGATGGCGTCATCGGAGCGACGGGCCCGAAAGGAAGTAGCGTACTGAGGGGTGTGGCGGTTTTCTGCGGTTGCACGGGGGGTCGGACGAGTACGGAGCGCCTAGAGGGACAGCCGGGTACGCCGCCCACCCCACTCCACCCCCCATCTTAGTGCGCGAGCGGGGCCTAGTTGCTTTTCCTGGCCCGAGCTGATCGGTGATCCTTGTGGGCTTGCGCCCCAGCACCCTCTATCCTTCAGCCGGCCCACTACTGGAGCTTGAAAGAAACTCCTTTCCGCCCCGTCCCCTCCCTGTTAACCCCCAGGCAGGACTGAGCGGAAGCACTTGGCGCCCAGGCCCGACCCAGGGTGCTAGGGACGCGTGACCCTCTCGGAAGAGTGGGGGAAAGGGGCGCGAGGTGGGGCGGGTGGCCTCGGGGAGACCTCGGGAGGGAAAGTATTTGCTGAAAGGATGCAGCTGCGAATCCGCAGCTGAGACCACCACGATGAAATAAGCGCCTCGCAGACTGCGTCCGAATTACGTTAGACTCGAAAGGCGGAGTCCGCGTCCTGTGCGAGTAGGCCCAGACACGCCAGACTAGGAACTTTGCTGTCTGTCACCATAGATTTTCCAGATCATTCAGTGTTCAGGAAACGCGCTTCTAGATGCCATCTCTTTGACTTACTGGTGTTTGAACGCAGTTGAACCCAGGAGCCCAGAGTTTCTTGGACTCGGGAACTCCCCTTTCTCCTGTAACGAAGAGTTTTTGGGGACCTGTCAGGTGCAAAGTGCCAGTCAAGTATATATGGGAGGGAGTGTGGCTGCTGTCTTGTTCAGAGCCTTGTCCCATTTAAGGCCAAAGGAATCACTGGGAAGGTGGACGAAAGGCCAGAGAATCCTACTGTGGAACTCTCCTCGCGTGCTGTCTCTGCCATTCGAGCATCTGAAAGGAGTAAATAATGGTTGTCTCTGAAATGGCAGGCAATTAGGATTGGGAGGCTCTGACCAGAATTACATAGCCACAACTGCCTGTCATTTGACATCCTCTGTAATTTCGTCCAACGTAGTGCAGCTGCCTCTCTTCCCTTTTTCTAGCATGGGTGGCTCCATTGACAGCACGTTGGTGTTCACAGGAAGAGAAGGCTGTGTTCTGAACACTGCCCAGTTGGTACTGGTTCTCCCTCGCAGGGCAGTGTCTGGAGCCACTGCCTCTTTAAAGAGATGTGGAATATAATTCTATGGTTAAGGAATGTGAAAGTTGACTGAGAACAAGGATGAAGAGAGTTGTAGATCTAGCCTTGTGCTCATTCTGCACCAGGCTGGGTGTGAGCCACTCTCAGGGAGCTCACATTGGTGAGGTACCCTTGCTGTCAGCTTTTCGCCTGGCCGCCAGACCACACGTTTTCCCATCTTTTCCCTAGGATACAGGTTCGCTGATGGCTCAGTTGGGAGCAGTTGTGGCGGTGGCTGCCAGTTTCTTTTGTGCATCTCTCTTCTCGTCTGTGCACAAGATAGAAGAGGGGCATATTGGGGTATATTACAGGTAAGGCGGAGGCAGGCAGAAGTTTGCACTTCCTGTTAAATGGCGCCCTTTCCTAGTCACTGTCTGGCAGATTCGGCTGAATATCTGCTTATATTTTGTTAAAGAAAGGAGTCTTTCGAATTGAGCTTTTGTATCAGTGACTATGATGGGGAAATATACATGTGTGTAAATGTAAAACTTTTCTTAATATTCTAAGATGATGCCATGGATGGTGATTGATAAATGTGTATGTCGATTTAAAGACAAAACCTAAAGGAGACCAGTGCGCCTTGCAGAAATACCGTTTTCTGTTATATCCCTCTGGGATTCTTGGCTCTATACTATGAGGTCACTTCCCCAAAGGCCAGCTGAGTCCCAGTTATTGATGGCAAACTGAGAAGATAGCCTACTCTGCTAATTATAAAGAATGTTTACTTTAGGACTACTCTTTAAAATTAACATTTCTTGAAAAATGAAAGGCTCTGCAAGTTGATTAATGTCAATCAAGGCAAGTCCCAGGATGGTGGTTCTTACAATAAATATTACTTCACTGTTTTATTGCCTTTAAAAATATATGTATCATATCTTTGACTTCACAATGTAAAAGCAAAGAAACAGTTAGAAATCATGAGTTGCTTTCCTTTTAGTAATCTTCATAACCCAGTTTTTTGATTTTAAGTTTTTATAAACCTCTTCTCTGTGCCTTGTGACGCTTATTTCTGGATTACCAATAGTAAGTTCCAAAACCGATCGGTTCCCCCCGCATCTGCTTACAGGTACCAAAAAAAAAAAAAAAAAGCTTTTAGTTAATCATTTACGTACAACTTGATTAGAAAAGTAGCTCTGCTGCCCCTCCAAAAAAAATTTTTTTAATTGATTATAAAGGGTAGTTAAAATTATTCTTTGGTTTCTCATGCCACTGGACTCTAATGTTAGTGCAGTTAATTGATAATTACATTACTGGATTTAACTGCCCTAATGAACTGCCAAAAGCTCAGTGAGTATGACAAAGTAAGCCAGACTTCTTCTCTTAGCCTAAGTATAGCCAGAGATTCTTCTGTCTTTATTCCACGTAGCCTGTGTACCTATTTTTCTTCTTGCAAAATGAATAATGATTTGATGTTTTACCGTCAGGCTTCCTAGAAGGTGAGGGTAGAGCTGAGTGAAAGGAAGGATCTGTGCGTATGGCGCTGGCACATGCCACTATAGATGAAATGTTTATGGGGCTGAAGTGATAGTTGGCCCAAATGGTATTGATTGCTTAAGTAGCTAAGAGAGCCTTCTTGCTAACTGAGCCTGCCTCTCTCTCCCTCCTCTGCAGAGGCGGTGCCCTGCTGACTTCTACCAGTGGCCCTGGTTTCCATCTCATGCTCCCTTTCATCACATCGTATAAGTCTGTGCAGGTATACTTGGCTTGTGTGGTGTGGTTGGATGACTGCAGATTCAGAGTGGTAACTAATGTGTGATTTGGAATTATTTAGCCATTGAGTGAGTACAGTGCCTTTTCAGGGAATGATGTAAAGATAGATTCATTTATTTATTTATTTAATAAAGAATGAGGCTCCATTTATGTTGGAGCTTTACTTGATTGTTGAAATAGCTGAATGAGGTCATTGCCTTGGCCTGTAAGCCCTAGCTGGGAATTATTTCTTTGCTTCAAGACAAAGCCAGTCATATGTATATACTTGTTTATGTGTGCTGCATATAGTTTCAAATATAAAAGAAAGCACATAGGGAGCACAGTTATGGATACTTACTAGATAAAACCAGACACCTCACGGGATTGGTTTACTGGGTTTGAGGGCTTAGGACCATAGTCTTGTGGGGCAACTTGGTCAATTGGCACAATATAGTGCATTAAGACAATGTTATACATCCTAGTTCAGCATCTGGGGTCTTGAAAGCTTGCAAGTGGCCATCTAAGATAAAACTATTAGTCTGCACTCATCCAGAGTGAAAGAGAAAGAAGGAAACCAAAGACTCAGAGAAGGAACTAGTCTCCAACACTAATAGTCTACACAATGGTCTCACTTACCTTGAGACCAGAAGAACTAGATGGTGCCCAGCTGCCACTACCTACCATCAGACCGTTCCAGCTAGGGGCTCAATAAATGGTCCCAGATACAATGGGAAAAAAAGTAGAACAAAACTTAAATTCCTTTTTAAAAGGCCGGACATACTGGACTGCTAGAAGCTGGATGAACCCCCGAAATTATCGCCCTGGGATACCCTTTAAACTTAGAATTCAAACCACCAAAAAAAAAAAAAACCTGAGTAGAGGCTTAAAGGTTAAACACACTTGGCCAAGTTACTGAAAATATGCAACATAAATGTAAGACCTCTGTCCCACATACTCTGATATATAATTGTGGAGGTGACAGAATTAAACTATTATTTTTACTAGTGTGTCATTCGTTTAAGAGAACATTTCTTTTTTTCTAATTATCTTTTACAAGTTTTTTAAATATGGTTAACAATCTGTTTTAAAATACATCACGTATATAAATAGAATGACTTTTCTACTGATACAAAACTGAAGTTTTATAGGCTAAGAATCTGATTATTATTATTACCACTCAATAATGCTAATTATATGCTATTATTATATCTTGTTATACAAACTAAAAATGGGAAATAAAATAATTTGGGTTTCCTAAAAAAAAAAAAAAAGCAGACAAAACCAGAGAAGAATCCATTCTGAATGTGTAGAAGGAAAAGTTGGGGAGGAGGGGTGTTTTAAATCCCAGGTTACCGTGATAAATGGAAATGTAGCATTGGTAGTTCTGTTGGTTTTTATTTGAACTTCAGAGCTGTGAACATAATTTTGGTAGGGGGCAGGGAGTTGAACTTGGTGAGGGAAAATGACATCTAAAATAGTAGAGTTAGCTATGACAGATCTGAAGCCTGGCTAAGTTAGACTAGTTATCTTTGAAGTGATTCCTGAGTGTGTTCAGCCAAGAAGAATAAGAAGTTTGAGAGAATGGCTTTTAAACTGACCCAGGAAAATAATCCTGCGGTACCTCATCAGTATTTTGTCTGTATGTTTCTTATGCCATTTACTGGGCTTTGTGGTTTTCAAATAGGAGCCCTGGTGGCCTGCACGTTAAGAGCTCAGCTGCTAAACCAAAAGGTTGGCAGTTCGAACCCACCCAGTGGTCCAAGAAAAAGACCTGGAGATCTGCTTTGGTAAAGATTACAGCCAAGAAAACCCTGTGGAGCAGTTCTGCTCTGTCACATGGGGTCGCTGTGAGTCAGAATCAACTGAACAGCACCCATCAACAACAACAGTTTTCAGAGTACTTGCATGTACATTATTTCATTTGAGTCTCAGAAATAATCCTGAGAATGGGCTAGCAGGTATTCCAGGCTGAGACAAATAAGGGATCCACTCTTTCAAGACTAGTAAGTGGGAGAGGTAAACACAGATCTTGGGACTCCTAGTACAAGGTGTTTTTCGCTAACCTTTATTACTCAGCTCATGTGCATAGTGGTTCACTTACATTGAAGCTTGGTTACCTTCACTTGGTTTAGTCTCACATGTGGTAAGTAAGGAGGGTCAGGTGGAGTGTTCATGTTAACAAAGGTAAAGCCCAGCCCAAACAGGTGTACAAGGACAAGGCCATTCAGGAATTCCAAAAAATGAATAATTGTTCCTCGCTGCCCATCTTACAGCATTTTATGTCTCCTCTATTTCCAGACCACACTCCAGACAGATGAGGTGAAGAATGTTCCCTGTGGGACTAGGTAAGCTACCAAGAATAAAGCTGTTAAGTTCAAGTAAGTAAGAAGAAGGAGCATTTGGCTGGCTGCAGCAACAGACAGTGATTAAACCTGGTGGTTTAATCTGTTTTCCTATCCCCTAGCTTCCTCTACTCTGATTTGCCTAAGTGGTGGAGTAGTGCAGTAGAGAAAATAGTAGGAGGGCCTTGAACACCATGATAAGAAGTTTGGACTTAATCACTCTGTGGGGAGTGAGGTGAGGATCCATTAAAGGTTTTAAGCAGATAAATGACATGATAAAGCAATGCTTTAGGAAGGTAACTGTAGCATAACTAACTACGGAGAATGTCTTAAAGGTAGCAGGGGACCTTCAGGGCAGGAGATCCAAAGAGCACACCATTGTGTGGTCCAGTTGAGAAGTAAAAAGGGCCTAAACTGGGATAGAGTAACAAGTTAAACACCACCACGAGGGAACACTTGGACAAATCCAGAACCGGGACATCGCATAGCCTGATCTCTCCACCAAGACATTTTATTGTACATCAGAGTTTTTCTTTTAGAAACTTGTAAAATTACTAGATTTAATGTGCAAGATTTGCATTAGAAAGAATACTGTGGATGAAAAGAGACTTACGAGACGTAAACAAGTGTAGTGATGAACCTTGATTAGAACCTGGTTCAAAAATAACAGCTATAAAAGACATTATGGGAACAATTGGGGAAATTGAGGTGAGGTTAATGAATTACTACTTGTCTTAGGTTTGAGAACGGTATATTTATGTAGGAGAACGTCATCGTTCTTAAGTGATGCTTGCTAAAGAATCAAGGTGTAAAGCATCAGAACTACAACTTATTTTGTAATGTTCAGCAAAAAAAAAAAAAAATAAATAGGACCAAGTGTTAACAGTTGTCGAATTTAGGTATCAATATGTAGGTGTTCTATTTTCTCAACTTTTATGTATGTTTGAATTTTTTTATATATAATGAAAATTTGTGTTGGGGAATAGTGTTGAAAACAAAGTGAGAAACATCGATCATGAAATTCCACAGTGACCTTTTAAGTTCTGGGAACCACTTGGCCTTCTACAGTTTTTTCCCCTGCAATTGATTGCTTTAACCAAAGGCATTGTTTATTCAAACAATAGGAACTCTTTTCTTACTGGCCCTGCAGAAGTCTCACTTTTTTCTTCATGGAGACGGTTTCAGGAGGTGTGATTTTTCGGGAGGTTGTGTTCTTTATGCGAGCTCTGAAGATCTCCTACTTGGAAGCTGGGGTTGTCTTCTAACCTCCCGGGAATTCTTCTCCTGCCCAGTCACACATCTTATGCCATTGTCTTCGGAGACTACACTATATTCCAGAGCCTGTTAGTGACTTTTTTGTCCATCCTCTCTCTAACAGTGGTGGTGTGATGATCTACTTTGACAGAATTGAGGTCGTAAACTTCCTAGTCCCAAATGCAGGTAAATTTTTCCAGTTTACCCTCCGTCCCCCCGAGCTTTCTTTCCCCAGCGTGCCACCCCTCTATCTATCACAGTGCCCAGGAAGGGAGAACATCTATGTCTGAAAAAGTTTTGAGTTTTTTCTTATTCTGAAATCTGTCTTTCCCTCCCCAGTGTATGACATAGTGAAGAACTACACTGCCGACTATGACAAGGCCCTCATCTTCAATAAGATCCACCATGAACTGAACCAGTTTTGCAGCGTACATACACTTCAAGAGGTCTACATTGAGCTGTTTGGTAAGAAAGTCTTTTCTGACCATGCCATGCTTTGTAGCCCTACTTCTCCTGATTGCCTACTTCTGAGCTGTGGGGTAGGAAGAATATTGCAGGATGGTTACTTATGAACAGGAATCCAGTGCTCAGGCACTGGTCACAAAGGGAATGCCTAGAAAGCATTAATGACAATGGAAGATGATACGTTACCATGGTTGAGCTTTGGGCACAGGAATAATAGTGGCATAGAGTACTCACTTCTGGTCTGAATCAGAGTACTGGAGAAGAAATGTGTTCCCACTGCCTGTTCCTAAAATATCATTAGATAGTTAAGATTGGTTCTAGAAGAACCTTAAAGATTAGCCAGCCCAACACCCTCACTTTAAGATAGGATACTGAGGCCCTATGAGAGAGAGTGGTTTTCCTGAGTATAGCTAGTTGGTAGGAGAGCTAAAACTAGACCCTCCCTCTATTGGCTTTCCCTCGAGTGTTCTTTCCACCACACCATGCTGAATGAAGGGTACTGGGATGAGTGACGAAAACGGTATGGTTCACATTTAATTTTAGAACTGGGATGAGGGACCGTAGCCACTTACAGCTCATATAACCTTTGTGATTGTTTTTTTTTAACCCTGTACCTTTGCTCGGTAAAGATGAGGAGGAAGACACTTAAAAAGGATCCATACGCTTAAGTAGACACATTTTTGTCAAAGTAAACACAGCCTGACTTCAGCAGCACTGGAAGGAAATATCCAGTACTGTCACAGGTCTTTTGTGGTAAATTGTTCTGTTTCAGCTTGCTGCGAGGAGTTTTATAGTAGCCAATGCTAAAAGTAAATGATTTTTTCAACCAATATTACCACTGTTCTTTTTTATTTATTTATTTGTTTATTTTATAATTTATTTTTGTTGTTGTTGAGAATATGCAAAGAAAAAACATAAACACCAATTCAAGTTTCTCCATGTCCACTTCGGTGACACTGAGTACATTCCTCAAGTTGTGCAACCGTTCTCACCCTCCTTTTCTGAGTTGTTCCTCCCCCATTCACATAAACTCATTGCCCCCTAAGGTTCCTGTCTAACCGAGTTGCTGTTGTCAGTTTCATCCCAGCGAGACAGATCTTAAAAGAGCGTAATATTCAAGGCAGACAGTCTTTACTAGTTAAGCTGAACTATTGCTTGGTTTTAAGAAGACTTCAGGTTTAAGGTTTAAAGATTATCTTAGGGAAGTAGTTTCAGGGGTTCATCCAGCTTCCATGACTCCAGAAAATCTAGATTCCATGAGAATTTGAAATTCTGTTCTGCATTTTTCCCCTCTGAATCAGGATTTTTCTATAAATCTTAGTATAAGATGGTAGCCGGGCACCATCCAGATTATAATTGTTCTTGTTATTAGGACTCTACAATGATCTTTCCCAGGAATCCTCATAAAAAGGGCCCAAGTAAGAGCATTTTTTATAGTAAATAAAAGGAGGACTCACTGACATTGCCAATGATCTTAGTTAAATAAGCAGCCTTTTGCATTGTGTTTAAGATAAGATTTGGGAAATCATCAGAATCTAATCTGTTGAAACATTAAAATCCCTTGCTTACTGATACGACAGCTGAAGAAAGTTCTGTTTTAAAATCCTAACAATCAAAGCATAGTGATTAAATAAGTTCATTATTTAGCTTTATGGACGTGAGCACATCACTCAGCCTTTGTGGGCCTTAGTTTTGGTATCTACTAAAGGAAGGCGTTAGACTTGCTATTCCTCAGAGGCTTTGTTTGGGCATAGGTAACCAAGAATGGCCACTTAAACCTGATGGCAGCTGACAGTAAGGGAGATGATTCAATTTAGAAGTCCCAGCCTGGCTGCATTAAGTCTTCTTCTGAGTGCCCTTCTAGGATGTGGTTGAGATCTTGTGGGCAGGGGACAGAGATGAGAGCTAGAAAACCCTGAGAAGGAGGCCAGAGAAGGCAGCTTTGGTGCTGTGTTGCAGGATCATAGCTCGAGGCAGAAGGGGGAACCAGCGAAGCTCTTCCTACGCTTGTCTCTGAAACAACTCGCAGTGAATTCCAGACAGAGGACTCAGGACCAAAGCAAATAACACATCAAAAGAGTTGGGCTTGCTTCCAGAGCTGTAAATTTTAATTTTCTCCTCGTGTTGTTTGATGGAGTTCCTAATGGAAACAATCTTCCTTGGGGCTGTGGACGTCAGAGTCTGGATTTCTTTTAGAAGCTTCTAAAATTACTAGATTTAATGTTCTCAGCTCTTTTCAAAATACCTAACACAGCTATTCCTTCTTCCTTCTTCCATGAAGGCTGTCAGTTTTCCTTCTCTTTGGCAGCTATCGTCTAGCAAAGGGCTGCTGCCTAACTCTGAAAATGTGCTAAAATTGTTGTTTGTTCTCTTCTTTAAGCTCAGTTGCCCTATAGCAAGGTTGATATTAACCTATTTTCAACAACAAGGGTGATTTTATCTTGAGGCCACAGGAAAAGGATACTCTTAAGTCTAGCTTATGTAGAAGGACTGCTTAAGTATGCTCTTCCAAAAATCTTTCAGACGTCTTTCGCTTTCTGGACTTCGATAAGCACACTACCTTGAGAAGACCTTCTGCCTGTAGGTACATTCTTGAGCTGTGTTTTAGCTTATACTCTACCCCCATACTTCCCTCCCCAGTGTCTAGAAAGTATAACAACTCATTTTTCTGTGTCTGTCTTGATTCCAGATCAGATTGATGAAAATCTCAAACTGGCTTTGCAACAGGACCTAACCTCCATGGCTCCTGGGCTTGTCATCCAAGTAAGCATTGCCACCACAGAAGAGCCCCCTCATGAAGTTGCAGCCCCTCTTGGAAGCAATGTCCTTTTTGTGCAGGAAGATCATGGACCAGTGGGAGCTGCTTTATGTCCCTCACCACCCTCGCCTTCCCATCAGTTGTTATTTTTATCCTTCTCCAGGCTGTGCGGGTGACAAAGCCCAACATACCTGAGGCAATCCGCAGAAACTACGAGTTGATGTGAGTAGACCCTCTGCTTAAGCTGTCACCACTCTCTCACATCTCCCGCCTCATCCCATCCCAGAGTTATTCCAAGCTGTGCCAGGCTTTTATTCCCTTTCTTGAGTATTTGTTACAGCCTGTTGCACTGTAAAATGGAGCAGGCATGTCAGGCCAATCTCCTGGGCTCCTTAACAGTGATTGAGAACCACAGGAGAAGCCCTTTAGAGCAGTGATGCTTTAAAAAGGGCCAGAGGGCCTTGTTTGTGTTTAATAGTTCATGCCAACGGAGGAGACGGGCACAAAAGAGCATTAAGTGGACAGGCAGGTGTATTTTACTAAAGTAAATTGTGTTTTATTTCCCACAAATGAGTTATTTTGGGGAGAAGAAAAGCCATGTTAATGTCTGCAGCAGATCAGCTTTTACCTGGGATGCTGAACTGCCTTCCAGAAGAGAGTAAGAAATTGTAGTTTGCCTCTTTTTAGCAGATGGGTTTGATTTCTCCAGGGAACAGTGAGGTTCCTTTGGAGCTTTTACATAGCGATCTCACCACCGCACACTTTTTTCCCTTCAGGGAAAGCGAGAAGACAAAGCTTCTCATTGCAGCCCAGAAACAGAAGGTGGTGGAGAAGGAAGCCGAGACAGAGCGGAAGAAGGCCCTCATTGGTCTGAATGTGGTTCTGGAATCCCTCTTTCAGGGCAGGAGGGCTGGGGATGGTGGGAAGATATAAGGAAGGCACAGGCATGGTTAGACTCCAAAACCTTTTTCCATAACACAGCATACTCCAAGAAGCAAAGTTGAAATTGTCAGATCATAGCCAGGGATAATGAGTTTTGAGTTTCCACATATCTCTTAAATGAAAGGAGTCCCTCTGTTGATTCTTAATTTATAATAATGGCTAGCACTTTTGACCACTTACCATGAGCCTTGTACTTTTCTAAGCACTCAGTATGTGAATTAACTCCGTACTCACAACCACCCTGCACAGTAGGTACTATTGTTAACCTCATTTTACGTAGGAGGGAACCTGCTCGCAGAGAGGTTAAATAATTTGCCCAAGGTCATATGGCAAGTAAGTGGTAGAATGGGGTTCAAATCCAGAAAATCTGATAACAGAACCTGTGTTCTTAATACTGTCTTTCAACAAGAAGCCTGACTACTTCCTAAAATGAAGTGGCAGGTAGAAACTTATTAAAAACCGAACCCATTGCCTTCAAGTCGATTCTGACTCATGGCAACCTTATGTGTTATGGAGAACTGTTCCATAGGGTTTTCTTAGCTGTAATCTTTATGGAAGCCGATCCCCAAGCCTTTCTTCCCCAGCACTGCTGGGTGAGTTCACACCATCAACTTTTACATTAGTAGTCAAGTAAAAACCATTTGTACCACCCAGGGACCCCTCAGCATTGCACGTGGATCCCAGAAACTTATTAGAGAATATTCCTTAAAATAGTCCTTTGAGGGAAATAGCCTGCCTCATGGCTTAGCAGAGAGGTTAGGGCCTATCTCTTGCCTTCCTCAGAGGCTGAATGACTCTTCTCTCTTGGGCCTAGTTCTCCTCAGTTACTATTTTGTGCTGATGGTACGGTTCTGTGCTCATGGTACGTTACATTTCTGCCCTTGTGTGCTGTCATGGCCGCCGTCTGGGGGCAGTGGCGCTCCATCTGAGTTCACCCACTGTCTCTCGCATCAGAGTACTCAGATCAGGGGAAAGGTGAAATTGAGTCAAACCCTCAGACTCTCAGGACTCTTAAGTCTTTTCTCAACCTCACTAATACAGAGGCAGAAAAAGTGGCCCAGGTCGCAGAAATCACCTATGGGCAGAAGGTGATGGAGAAGGAGACTGAGAAGAAGATTTCAGAAATTGAAGGTGAGCAGAAGTGAAGTTAATGCCTGAGTTTTCCTCAGACCCCACTTTGTGGCGAGCGTGTGAGAGTTGTTTCCATTGCTCTTTAATCTCTGTTCTAGAATGTTATGATTTCTTTGGAACATCACCTTTTCGCTCTGCTTAGACTTGAGTTCTGAGTAAATTTTGGCCAGTCTAGCATCAGTTTTCCACTTCAGAGAGCGTTCGTTCATCCAGCGTATGCTAGTTGAGTGCCATTATGTGCAAGACATTTTGTCAGGCATAAGAAAAAGGAAAATCAGGTGGTCCCTGCTGTCTTGGTGTTCACAGTCTAGCAGAGGCCCCAGCACATTGGAAGTAAACTGAGGAGCTCGGCCAAAACAGCAGCTCTCTTTCATGCCTTACACCCTCCTCCTCAGACACATTTTCAGCTTCTCAGTCTTCTCTCAAGATCTGTGTAGATGTTAGCCTGGTTTGAAGAAGATACCTTTTCAGCATCAACAGCACTTGAGCTGGAAAGAAGTGTTTTCTTTACTGGCTTTTCTGAATACCATTCTCCTTCAGTGCCCCACCCCTAAGCCCTCACCTCATTCTCACCGCCCACCTTTCACTTCACGTGGTGCCTATGTCAAGTAAATTCCAGCACAAAAATGGGACTGCAGGGCCCAGCCTTCAAGCTACAAAGTGCTGTGTCCCATTATACTCATTATGGGGCCTGTCAGGCTTTGCAGGGGCCTGTTGAGGAGCCAATTAGGATTTCACAAATCATTGGCTTCTCATCAGGGAGCTCTCAGCTGAACAACACATTTTTATTTCTTATAAATACATGTCACCAGTTGAGTCAGCTGCATGACAGCCCGAACCTCAGCCAGACTACAGGTTCGTCACACTTCGTCTCCCTCCACCCCAGGGTCATGCTGAGAGCATGCAGTGAGAACCCACCCACAGACTGATCTTTCTTCCCAGGCTTTTTGCTACAGATATTACTCACATGAGGCTGGCCACATTCCTGAGGCAAGGAAGGAAATATCAAAAGTATTCTATTTACTTGACAGAAAGCTAGGCTTAGAGCAGACCAGGGAAGTATAGTGCTTGCATAGTGGCAGTTTAGATAGATTTTAATCCAAACAGCTGTTGGTCTGGCCCATGGCATGTAATTCTCTATCAGAGTTATACCATCTTAACCAGTATTAATTAGGAACTTTTTGTGAAATGATTAATGGAAATAGAAGGGAAACAGAGTTGGGGAGAGACCGACCTATTTATATTTCCAGCCACTCCTCACTTAGTGACTATCTTATTATCCAATATTTCACATTTACGACAATAGTAAAACATCTACTATCTGACTATTTTGCGCATATTAACGACGTACATCTGGCAGTAACGAATGCCAAGGTGCGACATGAGAGTAACACTGGCTGTGACGGTTAAGGTTATGTGTCATGTTGACTGGGCCATGATTCTCAGTGGTTTGGCAGTTATGTAATGATGTAGTCATCCTCCATTTTGTGATCTGATGTGGTCATCTTCCTTTTTCTTGTAATGCCAATTTTTGCCTAACTGCCTGGTCTTTGGAACCTAATTGTGTCAATAAATGAGAAAGGTGTATTTTATTTGTGGCCCCTGGTATATTCCGGTTTAGGGTAGATCTGCCCCAGCCATATTTGGAACCTTCGTTGGGTCTCTTGCTTTTGCTATAGAACACGAGAGAGATGAGAGGTGGTACATTGTGGAACTGGAGGTTGAGACTGTTTGCTTCCCAAAGCTACTCTAAAGGATGCAGTCATGTGGAAACAGGATAGTAGTGCTTTTTTTTTTTTTTTTTTGCCTCCAATAATGGCTAGCGAAGTTTATGTTTTGGGCATGGCAACAGACTTGCTCATAGTCCCTATCATGGAAAGATGCTTTCAAAGCACTTTTTCATCTTGTTTGATCCTTACAACAATTTGTAGAATAGGAAAAAAGTGGTTTTTTCCCAGTTCCATAGATGAGGAAGTCTAAGCACCAGGTGGCGGGGGATGGGGGGAGGCAGCCTCCTCAAGGTCACGAAGGCAATCAGGAGAAAATATACAGGGACCAGAAAACAGGTGTCTGATAGCTCCTGCACTCCTGCATACCACCCTGTTGTACTTCTTCCAGTTCCTTGCATTCTTTCCCTCCTTAGATGCTGCGTTTCTGGCCCGGGAGAAGGCAAAGGCTGATGCTGAGTGCTATACTGCTATGAAAATAGCCGAAGCAAATAAGGTAAAGGCCTAGCCCAGCCTGTTGAAGAGAAGGTATATATGAGTTTAGGTTTATATTGCTTGAGAGTCCCCAGGGTTGGGTGACCACCACCAGCCAGAGCCCCTCATGGCCAGAACTGATGACTGCTGTGCTGTGTGGGACAGCTGCTTCCCTCTTTCTTAATGGTGCCTTGATAGAAGTTTAATTTTTCTGTTAAACCTGGAAACTTCTAAAACTCTTCCAACCCGGGGCTTGCAGATCTGAGGTTACATTCTTAGAGAAGGGGTTGCTCTGTTACTAATGTAGTAGTGAGACTAGGAAAAGTAGAGAGGGGAGTATTTCTTTGACAGAGACCCTCTCCATGTGAAAATTGAAGAGGTGCCACCCAGAGTTTGCTGGAATCTGGCTTCAGCGAAGTCATCTTTACTTTTTGTTTTGTTTTTTTTTTGTACAGCTGAAGCTGACCCCTGAATATCTGCAGCTGATGAAGTACAAGGCAATTGCTTCCAACAGCAAGATTTACTTTGGCAAAGACATCCCTAACATGTTTGTAGACTCTGCAGGCGGCCTGGGCAAGCAGTTTGAGAGGCTGGCTGACAAGCTGAGTTTTGACTTAGAAGAGGAGGAGCCCTTAGAGGCAGCCACTGAGGGGAACTGAAAATGTTTTTATACAACCTCAGATGACACTTGAAGAAATCTTTATTTTTTAATGATGAACCAGAATGTCCCCTCCCTCCCACACTACCTGCTTTGACTCACTTCAAGGTACTATGGTGAAAAAGAAGAAAGGGACTTAAATCTACTACCCTTCCTGGTAAGGGGGGTGGGGAGCTGATGATTTGGGAGTTTATTCAGGTGAGTAGGTAATTTAACTTCCGATAAGATTTGTAAACCATTTAACCTTGCATCTCCAGGTACTAATTTTGACCCTTGAAAGCTGGCTTACTAGGGATGCTGGAGGAAATGTAGGATGTAGCCTCCAGGTGACTTGATTTCTCTTATTTGGGAAAACGTGGTCCAATTTTCTCACCCCTGCCTCCCAGGTGGGAGGTGTCTGTAGGTGAGAGGTGTCTGTGGGTGAGGCTCAGCAACTGAGCAAATAATGTGCTTATAAGTTTGCCGGGAGAGCCATGGAGAAACAGCTGCAGAGAATGTTTGACTTTCCTGGCAGTTTTGTCTGTATGGGTGTGCTGTCTTGAACCCTCAAAAGCAGGAACTGGTGCTAGGTTTTGCAAGGTTTTCTATACACTCCCCTTCTTGCCCTAGCATTTAAAGAGTGTGGTGGTTTCTGATGACATTTCCAGAGTCAGTGTTTGGGCACCACCACACAATTCTTTTTGGAACTTTTCACCTATCCTCTGATTGGTTTTTTTCCCTCAATCTGTTTGCTGGTTCCAGTCAGCATCAAGAAGACAGAACAAACACTCAAGTGTCTTCATAGCTGCTGAAGGGGAGTCATTGTATCTATTAGCTGTACCTGCTTGGCAGATTATGTACCTTGAGATCCAGTGTCTTTATTGTTGTGGAGATTCCACATTGAAGAGCTCTGATATCGTGTACAGAAGAGGAAGAAAGGTCATCCAAGAGACTTCCTAGTCTAATTGCCTATGGCTTGTGCTGGGAGTGAGATTTGTCTGATGTAGTGATAAAGGGAGCCCTCAGTAACATGTGTTTTTTAATCCAGGGCTCCAGTCGGGTCAGACTGAATGTCACATCTCTAGAGACAGCTATGTGAATGTAAGTCCAAGTTCATGCCCAAGTCCCTGGGTTGGAATGGTTGCACCAAAATCAGTTTAAAATGTTTATTTTTCCTTACTACTTGGAAAAATTTGAGCCACACTGGGAGATTCAGGGTCAGGGGGGCACAAAGATGAAAGAAGCTTTCTTCTTATATCCAGAAGTGAGTGCAGGGGAGGAGGCCGTTCTAGCCCTTGAGTTGTGTACAGCAGTATTAAGTGGAGGACAGTTATTTGGAGTTAACGTGCAAGGTACTATCCATAACCAGGAGCCCTGGTGGCATAGTAGTTAAGAGCTCGGCTGCTAACTAAAAGAAAGGCAGTTCGAATCTACCAGCCACTCCTTGGAAACACTATGGGGCAGTTCTTCTCTGTCCTGTAGGGTGGCTATGAGTCAGAATCAACTCGACAGCAATGGGTTGGGTCTCCATGACCAGCTCTGGCTTAGGATTTCACCTTATTAGCTGCCCTCTGAGACTCCCGTCATACCCCTCCTTCCTATGTGAATAATATGAATGTTATTTTCTGGCACAGATCCCCACCTCCTATTTGGTCCCATGCCCACATTTCTGGCTTATGGAATGGCCTTTTCTCAAGCTGGAACTCCAGCCAGCTTGCTCCTAAGTAGTACCAGCTTGTCAGGAGTTTGAAGAGCATCCGGCCTACCTAGGAAGTTACAGACCAGTAACTCCCATTGCTTCAAATATTGCTCATCTCTGTTCTAATTCCTGGGACTCAGAATTCTCAAGCCACTGGTCCTGGTCACACTCTGTGCAGGCATCAAAATGTTCCTGGGGAGTGACAGATTTAATTGTGCTCAAGAGTTCTTGCAGAAGGTGGTCAGTTTCCCAAGACCAGTATAGGGTGTCCATTAAGATCGCTCATTTCCTCCCATTTCAGTGCCATTGGTCACTTGCTAAGAGCAATGTGGCAGGTCCAGCATCCCAATTTACATATTTGTCTGCTTCTCTCCTCTGATCTCTCGCTGCATGAGCCTCAGAAAACACTGTTTCACTACAGTAGAATCAGGAGCAGGGATATCTCAGCCTCTCTCAACAGCACGTTTTGCTCAGGTTCCTAACTTGAAAGTCTCTCTAGTACTAACATTCAGTGTTAGTTTGTCCTTTGCACTAGATACACTTCAACCACAAAAGAGCCTCAAGAGTAAACTCCTGCTGCAACTGCCCCACCCCCTCGGTGTTACTGTCACTTCCTCAAACAAAAACATGAATGTTGTACTCATTGTCTTAAACCCAGTGTTGCCTGTACCTGCCTGAAAAGTAAAATCATGGAATTTAACTGTTTCCTTAGCATAGGGCAAGTAACCCATCTGTCTGCTGTGTCTTTGTTTTTTTTTTAACACTTACTAGAAAATCTGATCTTAAAACGTTTGAATTCTAAACATGTAAACTGTGACAGCCTGCGATTTTGTAGGCAGTAGCGTCATGGCTGCTATTTATAAACGGAACTCCTGTTCTTATCAAAATAAATAACTTCATAAAATTCAGTTTTTGTAGGATTTTCCAAGGAAAAGTCACCTTGGTTGAATGTTTCTCACTCATTAAACTTTGCAGAAATGATTCATAGTCAGTGCTGTTTTTAATCACTTTTTTAATATGAGGACAGAATGTGTGCAAGGAAGCCAAAGTTTGTTAATTTTTATATGACAAAAGTAAAATAGATTTAGAGGAGTCCTATGATCATAGTAAGTTGAGGGGGAAAAAAATCACTGAAAGAATCTTAGCATTGTATTCATCACAAAAAAAGTAGTTTTACAAGTGATCTGTAGTGATGTCTGTGAGTCTGTGTATCTTTCAACACTGATAACGTCACCATTTATAAAGAGTAAATAGTGAAAGTAAGACGATGGTGTTTACCAGCTTCGGCGTTGAAGTTTTACTTAGGATAAACTGTAACTTGGCTAGTGGCTGTTCTGTGTCTGTGAACTTAACCACTGCTTCTTTAGTTCTGTCCTACAGAGGCCTAACCACTCTTTCTATTGTTTCCATATATAAAGAGGTAATAACCAATTATTTTGTGTTTATATTGCCATTCCCTTTTATTTCTGCTTTTGTGTAGGCTCGTGATTGAACAGTCAGGCTGATTCTACTTTCAAAGATCCCTGAGGGCTTAACGACCCCCCTTGTAACTGGGAAATTATTGTTATATTAATCATTCTGTAAATGACACTGCTGGAGTAATTGCTGTGAGTTGATAGCTGGAAGAATTGTTTTGGACAGCACTAAAGGTCTTGTGTGAATTTATGTCTTAGTTTTATTTTCAGTCTTGCTAAATAAAATGTCTTTGTATTTACTTTTTTACTAACGTGAAATTTAGCTACAGCAAATACTAAGATAGGTGACATTAAAAAAAAACCCTGCCTAGTAGTTTAAATACAAGATCTCCCTGAAAATCTATTCAGATGAAAATCTGTCCCCCTTATCAACATAGAAACAGGGAGCACCGAATTTGTGAACATGGCATAATTCTTGGTAGATGCTTTAGAGATTTATAATTTTAAAGAATTCATATACCTCTGCAGTTCTACTCCAAAGGGCAGAGATATTTTCAATTGGCCCCAAACTCATTTTGGTATCAATTCAGTGGAGAAGTCCCAGTCTCTACTCTGAAAAACCACTTAGCCTAGTGTTGCCAAGTAAAATACAGGATGCCCTGTTAAATTTTCATTTCAGATAAACTATCAATAATTTGTAGTGTAAGTATATCCCAGATACTGCATAGGACATGTTGTTGTTAGGTGCCATCGAGTCAATTCTGACTCATAGTAACCCTGGGTACAACAGAATAAAACACTGCCCAGTCCTGTGCCATCCTCACAATCATTGCTATGTTTGAGCCCATTGTTGCAGCCACTGTGTCAGTTCATCTTGTTAAAGGTCTTCCTCTTTTTCGCTGACCCTCTACCTTACTGAGCATGATGTTCTTCTCCAGGAAGTGGTCCCTCCAGATAACATTTCCAAAGTACATGAGATGGAGTCTTGCCACCCTCACTTCAAGGAGCACTATGGCTGTACTTCTTCCAAGACAGATTTGTTCATTCTTCTGGCAGTTCATGGTATATTCAGTATTCTTCGCCAGCACCATAATTCAGAGGTGTCAGTTCTTCTTCAGTCTTCCTTATTCATTGTTCAGCTTTCGCATACATACGGAGCAACTGAAGGTATCATGGCTTGGTGCTAAAAAAGTTACTAAAATTCAGATTTAACTGGGTGTCTTGGATTTTTATTGCTAAATCTGGCAACCGTGGTCCAGCCCTTTCTCAGCTTATTTTATGGTCTTCTCAAACTTTTTCAATTAGTTTCAGAGGCTGTTATGCAAATAATAGGACCTTACAATTATACAGGTAGGTTAAGAGTGTAGTCACTGCAGTTAAACTGCCAAGGTTCAAATCCCTGCCCTACCACCTTCTAACTGTGCGGGTGAATGAGTTCTTCAACCTCTCTAGGCCTCAGTTTCATCATCTATAAAATGGGTTGTGTAGATTAAATCAAATAATGCATGTAAAGGGCTTAACACTGTGCCTAGCATGTATAAGAGTGCAAAAATAACTTATTTTCAATCGACTAGAAAACACGACTATCAAGTGGGTACCACTCAGTGAAAAGTCAAAAATCAATGTAATAAAATAGCATAAGATTATAAAAAAGATAGTGCAGAGAGGAAGAAGATAGCAGTACACTGCAGCAGAGAAATACACCTCTACAGAAACGCAGCGTGTAGAAAACAGGCTGTAATCTAGTGTGCTCTGCGATGGTTACGCCCTATTGAGAGGAACTGTCCAGTTCTGGGCCCCAGTTAAAAAAGGACTCAAAGAGGCTAGAGAGAAAACAAAATGGTAAAGCCAAAAAGAAAAGAGTTAAAAAATAAAACTCACGGGTTGACCCCAGAAAAATCAGGAAAGGAATTTAACAACTAAATTAAAGTCACATAATGATCAGTTGTTGTCTGGCTCTACAAAGACCAAAGAAAAGGAAATTAGCTTGTAGAATAGAGTATTTTAAAAGAATTTACTTAACATAAGACTGGCTAAAATTTGAACTGGGGGAGAAGTAGTTATCTACAAATAGAAAATAAATCCAGGAATTAGCACGGATAATGTTTTCTTCTCTGATGGTCTTCAGAAATTGGGGAGATTCTGTGTCTGGGATGGTTTAAATGTCATTCTGTCTATATGAAAGATCAGATGATCTCTAAAGGTCCTCCCCAGGTCTAGGGTTCTGGAATCTATGTTGACATTTCAAAAGCCAAATGTGACAGCATGTTTGCTGAGGGATTGCTGTCGTGGCTACTCTACCTGAATTCATTTAAACTGGGACACGGGCATTATTTCTCCATTTCTCTTTGGAACCAAGTAACCAGGCAACAGTAATTTTCTATTATTTTAATCTTACTTATCCACCCAAAAGAATCACAGTAGGATCAGAAGGAAACAATTTTAAAATCCATGTGCTTTCTTCATAATTCAAGGCCTTAGACTAGAGGTGAGTATTTTAAAAGTTCAATGGCATTTACGGTGAGTAAGTATGCCATGTTTTGATTGTTTAGAAAATCTCTTCCTCTGGCTATTTGGCTTTTTAATCTCTCAGTTCCCTTTTGTCATTGCAAATTATTGGAGCAATTCAAAGACAATTACTGGTAATGGGTGATTTCAGACTTGCATTTTTCAAGGTTTAGGTAGTTAGGATTAAAAGGTTAAACTGGATTGTTAATGTCCCAGGCAGAGGAAGAAAAGAAACTAAACAAGAATATTAAGAGCAAAAGGAAGTGGAATAAAATTTACCCAAAAGCACGACTAAGAAGTAAAGAAATTGGAAAATGTGAAATGATAATGGGACTGGGTCACCGTGATCTTTTTGTCTCTATTTCCAGTTTCATAAGGTCATAGAATAACTGTTAGAAATGAAAAGCTTCTTAGAACTGAATCAAGTCTAAACTCTTTACAGATGAGGATCTGGGGCCCAAGTAGTTAGGCACAAAATCCAAGCCTATAGCTATCACTAAGAATAAGGTCTACTCTCTGATAATCTTCTGCAAGTCCTAGTCATAAGCATCCTTCAAGGGCCAACTCAAGTGCTGCCTCCTAAAAGCTCTTCCTCTATCCTCCAAGCCAAACATGATCTCTCCCTCCCTGAAGTGTCACGTGGTGCTCATTGCTTTCTGCACTGTACTAGTGAACAAGCCTTGGTTCCACAGTAAACTGTACTCACTGAGGATGAGAGCCTCTCTTACTCATCCTGGTCTCCCCCAAGGTACTTTGACAGAGTAAATCCTCAGTAAATGTTCACTGAATGACATTCATTGAGCACTTGCTCTTGCTTTGGACACAGCACTTTAGTAAGTGGTTTTTTAGCAGAAAATTGAAGGTTGAAATCATTCTTCTGATGTTTTTTTGAGAACCACACACATATACCATACCCTGGAGGGGAGGGTGGCACAGTTGTTAAGCATTTGGCTGCTAACCAAAAGGTCGGCAGTTCCAATCCACGAGCTGCTCTTTGGGAACCCAATGGGGCAGTTTTACTCTGTCCTATAGGGTCACTATAAGCCAGAATCGATGAGACTGCAAAGGGTTTGGGTTTTTTTTGTTTGGAGGGGAGGGGGAATGAAGGAGGGAGAGGATGACCTTGTAACTTAAGAAAGATACTACTGCTTGTCATAATGACCTGTCACCCTGGATTATACATTCCCTAGATCTCTGAGGTATTTATGATTTTTAAAATGTTTTCCAGATAGCCTATCACTTAAAGTATTTCATGCTCACCCAGTCCTTTCTCTACACCTTCCTTCACAATGACCCCCCTCACCATAATCCCCTTCGTTTCTTCACCACTTAAACTGTGGCTAACTCCTTCCAGTTAGCCAAACTATCATGCTCATACTAGAAGGGCTATTCTGGTCATTTTTAAGTTTTTATCACTTTGGTAGGAGTAGAAATGTATCAAGTCCAGAGACATTTAATTTGAATAATACAATTATGCCCAGTATCTTTGGCAACCCTAGTTCACAAATAACCCAGTTACGTATACTATGGTAAATGACCAGAGATGCCAAAAAAAAAAAAAAGTTCCTTATTGCAAGGACCCAAGGTTCTGCTCAAAGTGATTTTCACAGAGCAGATGTGAAATGCCTCTCAATTCCCTGGGGTCTGGGAAGGTTTGAGAGTATTGCCCCTTGGTTCCAGAAGACTCTTAAGGCGCCCAGTCACCTCAAGACAAGACCACCTAGAGAACAAACTTCAGCCTTCTCGCTCCGATGTTAACATCTCACTTCATTAAACAGAATATTTGAGACTCTCAATAATTGCAGCCAAATGTACTTCACATAATAAAATTGATCTCTTTCAACTTGCTCATACCCAAAACACCAAACCCATATGTGGAGTCTATTCCGACTCATAGCAACCCTATATTTCACCATCTGATTTTAAATGTAGCATTTTACTGTGTTAGCCTTTGTGGTGTTTGTCTCATCAAGTTTATGACCTTCATATTGCCCAAAGCTGGACACATAAGAGACACAAGAATTGGACTGAATGTGTGCTGAGCCCTCGCTGGACTGTCTACAGCTGTGCTCTCCGATAGGGCAGCACCAGTCACAGGTGGCCCCTGACCACTGGAAATACGGGTAGCTCAAATTGAGGCGCACTGTAAGTGAAAAATATACACCAGATTTCAGAGACTAGGTACAATAAAAACGTAAAATATTAATTTTTTCTATTGACTACATGTCTATTATTTTGGATATACTGGGTTAAATAAAATGTTATTAAAATTTTTCAACTCTTTAAAAGAAACTTTATTATAGTCTACTAGAAATTTTAGAATTATGTACGTCGCTCGCATATTTCTATTGGACAGCACTGGTCTAAAGGATGACAAAATTAAAATAACCATACATTTGAGTCATACTTGTTTTTTTTTTACGAAGAGTTTTACATCTCTTAACGTTCCTCACAAGAATCATCTGAAATACTAAAAGCCAGCCTCCCACTCTAGCAGCTTCTAATCCTGGTCCCTTCGCACAGAAAGCTAAGCTCCTCCATCCTTGTAAAGCCATTTTGAAATGGAATAGAACTCTGAGAACAGGCAGGCATTTTTGCTCCAGGTAAGTCCCTTTCACGGAGACAGTGGGACAGGGCAGCGGGTCAGGTAGTTGGAAAGCAAAGACCACTCGCCTGGCGGCACTAGAAACCCCGCCCGGCGACCACGGCTCCCTCGCTTCTACGCCCCGAGCCCCGTAACAGGGACTCACCAGTTTTTACACCTCGAGGACCGTGGGCGACCTCCCCAACATGGCCGCCGCTAGGAAGCTGGCCGCCCCTACGCCCTTCCCGCCCCGCGATGCCGGGTGTTCATTGGGTGAGACAACTCGGTGGTAAGCGGTGATTGGGCTCCACGGAGGTGTGAGCTGGGCGGGACCGGAAAGTGGTCTCCGGCTGTGGGTGCCTGGCGTCTGGGGCTCGGCGTTGGTTACCGGGGATGTGGAGAGCTGGCGGGATGTCGGCGGAGCTGGGAATTGGATTCGCCCTGCGGACGGTGAACGAGCGTGTTCAGCAGGCGGTGGCGCGGCGGCCACGGGTGAGGAAGGGGTCCGCGTGGGGACGGTGGGCGGCTGCTGTGAGGAGGGGGACACCTGCGTGGGAATGGGTCGTCACGGTGACGCAGATGGGTCTCCCGGAGGGGCGGGACCCGGCCGACGCCTTGGCATTGGTGGGGGTTGCACAGCCCGCAAAAGGCCTGCGAAGGGTTTCCTCAGCGACGCCGCGATTAGTCTGTCATGTTTTCTGGAGATTGGCTTAGGGGGAGCAGAAGAGACCCGCTACCCCAGGAGGGTGACCGTCTCCAGTATCGCAGCCATTTGCCCATCCCGCTTAGTATAGGAGTCGACAGCCTTGGCTCTGCCCAGAACTGCAAGAAAAGAAGTCTGATACAAGAGCACCCAGAGGACGCCAGATCCACCCGAAGTCACGTGTCAGGCAGCTGTTGATGCTCAGTAAATGTCCGTTCCACCCGCAGGTTAAGGAGAGGGTGGATTGGCGGTACTTTGCAGGCACTACAGAGCTGCGCTTGCGCCTTTGGAGCAGGAGGGAGCTGTGACATCCAATCCCAAACAGTTTAAGGAGAGATTTGTTCCTTATATATGTTTTTTCCCCCTTGGAATTTCATTAGTTCAAGAGGCATTATCCTCCTCGTGCAAGTTTAAGCTGAATGGTGTGCAGTGAGACAGACGTGAACAGAGAGGTCAGAGGTTTCTCCAATCAAGCATTTATGGGTGTAGTACTCAGAATGCTGGCCTGGAGGCAGAAGAGCTGTATGGTAGTCCTTCTTTGGCCACTAATTAGCTGTTACCTTGAACAAGTTACTTAACTACTCCGGCTCTCTTGGTTTCCTCATCTGTACAGGTAACTGGATGAGCTCTGAAAGCTTTAAGCTCCCTTCTGGAGTTAATGTTCTATGATTCTCAGTGATTCTCCAAGAAGAATCTAGGGAGTCCCTGGTTCTCCCCAGGGTAATTCAGGCAGATGGGCTGCCTGTTCCACTTTTTTCTCTAGAAACCATCATCCATCAGCATAATTCTGGGAGTTACGACATGGTCTCGTAAAAGAGGCTGGTAACTTAGAATCACAGTATTCTCAAATACTGAAGGAGTCAGGCAATTGACATGATGGAGTCAGGTCAGTTAGCAGACAGTCTCGTCTTCCTCCCTTCTGAGGGCTGCCTTACCAGGAAAAACAAAACAACAGTTGCCATTGAGTCATTTCTGACTCATGGTGACCCCACGTGTGTCAGTGGAACTGTGCTCCGTAGGGTTTTCAATGGCTGATTTTTCAGAAGTAGATTGCCAGGCCTTTCTTCTGAGGCACCTTGGGGTGGACTCAAATCTCCAACCTTTTGGCTAGTGGCCAAGCATATTATCTGTTTGCACCACCCAGTCTACTTCTGAAAAATCAGCCATTGAAAATCCTATGGAGCACAGTTCCACTCTGACACACATGGGGTCACCATGAGTCACAACTGACTCGATGGCAACTGTTGTTTTGTTTTGTGTTTTCCTGGTAAGGTAGCCCTCAGAAAGGAGGAAGAGGAGACTTTCTGCTAACTGAGTACTGTGATTCTTAACTGTGTGAAAATTCAGAGGGTGGGATACATGAAGACTGAACTATAGAAGAGTAGATGACTCTCTTCTCCTTTTGCCTCTGTGTGATTGGGTTATAACAGAATGCAGGGAAATCCTGCTCTTCATGTTATGGCCATGGGAAGTCTTAGTCCTGAGTCTATAGAGTTTTTCAGTCCTGATCGCATTTCTGCCACTGGTTCTTGCTTTATAGATTGGACAATAAATTATATGGTTACCCTAAGGCCACTTTTGAGTAAACGGGGACAGTATTAATAATTACACCAGGACCTTAGGAGTAAGCCAAGACTGTTGCAGCAAACCAAGATGTATGGTCACCTAATTCATAGATCTGTATATCCCTGCTTCAGGACTGATGGTGTGGATGAGAACTGTAGGAGGTGCTCTGAGCTCGTGATAAAGTATATAAGGCAATTTGGATGTGAGCTGCTTGCTTATTTTACCGTGGTGGTCATTAGACAGAGCCCTTTCAAGTGCCCATTGGGTGATGGGAATTGTTGTTGTTAGGTGCTGTTGAGTCTGCCAACTCATAGTGACGCTGTGTACAACAGAACAAAACACTGCCTGGTCCTACGCCATCCTCACAATTGTTTTCATGCTTGAGCCCATTGTTGAGACCACTGTGTAAGTCCATCTTGTTGAGGGTCTTCCGCTTTTTCGCTGACGCTCAACTTCACCAGGCATGATGTCATTCTCCAGGGATTGATCCCTCCTGATAACACGTCCAAAGTATGTGTAGTCTCACCTTCCTTGCTTCTAAGGAGCTTTCTGGTTGTACTTTTTCCAAGGCAGATTTGTTCATTCTTTTGGCAGTCAGTGGTATATTCAATGTTAAAAACACCACAATTCAAAGGTATCAATTCTTCAGTATTCCTTATTCATTGTCCAGCTTTCCCATGCATATGAGGCAATTGAAAACATCATGGCTTGGGTCAGGCGCACTTTAAGTCTTCAAGGTGACATCTTTGCTTTTTAACACTTGAAAGAGATCTTTTGCAGCAGATTTGCCTAATGCAATGTGTTGTTTGATTTCTTGACTGCTGCTTGGTTGATTGTGGATCCAAGTAAAATGAAATCCTTGAAAACTTCAGTCTTTTCTCCGTTTATCATGATGTTGCTTATTGGTCCAGTTGTGAGGATTTTTGTTTTGTTTATGTTGAAATGTAATCCATACTGAAGGCTGTAGTCTTTATTCTTCATTAATAAGAGCTTCAAGTCCTCTTCACTTTCAGTAAGCAAAGTTGTGTCACCTTCGTAACGCATGTTGTTAATGAGTATTCCTCCAATCCCGATGCCCCATTCTTCTTCATATAGCCCAGCTTCTCAGATTATTTGCTCAGCATTCAGACTGAATAAGTATGGTGAAAGGATACAGCCCTGACGCACACCTTTCCTGACTTTAAACCGCGCAGTATCCCCTTGTTCTGTTCAAACAGCTGCCTCTTGATCTGTGTACAAGTTCCTCATGAGCACAATTAAGTCTTCTTGAATTCCCATTCTTCGCAACGTTATCCATAATTTGTTATGATCCACACAGTTGAATGCCTTTGCACCGTCAGTGAAACGCAGGTGAACATCTTTCTTGTATTCCCTGCTTTCAGCCATAATCCATTTGAGATCAGCAATGATATCCCTTGTTCCACGTCCTATTCTGAATCTGGCTTGAATTTCGGCAGTTCCCTGTCGATACACTGCTGCAGCTGCTTTCAGATGATCTTCAGCAAAATTTTACTTGCGTGTGATATTAATGATATTGTTCAATAATTTCCGTGTTTGGTTGGCTCACCTTTCTTGAGAATTGGCATAAATATGGATCTCTTCCAGTCAGTTGGCCAGGTAGCTGTCTTCCAAATTTCTTGGCATAGACAAGTGAGCACTTCAGCACTGCATCCATTTGTTGAAACATCTCAGTTGGTATTCTGTCAATTCCTGGAGCCTTGTTTTTCACAAGTGCCTTCAGTGCAGCTTGGACTTCTTCCTTCAGTACCATCAGTTCCTGATCATATGCTACCTCCTGAAATGGTTGAACGTCCACCAGTTCTTTTTGGTAAAGTGACTCTGTGTATTCCTTCTGTCTTCCTGATGGGAATGTACAGTGTCTAATGTGGGATTCTTTCCTGTCCTTGGCTCTATTGCCTCTGTCTTTTCTGTTATGATAAGGAAGAAAACGCTTCGAAAGCAACTTCTAAGCTGTTTGGAGCTGAGCTACCAAAAAGAGCACAGTCAACGCACCTGCCTCTTTATGTCCTCAGCATCAGTGAGGCCAACTCAGTGGGTGACACTTGGCTGATGGATGTTACAGGATGCCCAAGAGGGTGATCAAGGCCTTCCCTCCATAGAAATGGATGCAAGAATAACGTGGGCCGTCTCACATTGATGAGCCTTTGGATTTTAAGAACACACCCTTTCTTGTCTGCTACTGTCACAGTAGAATGGATGCTTTTAATTTTACATCTGGGTCTATTTAATGGTTCATTGAACCCTAAGCAACAGTCACCAGTTCAGAACTATGAGGAGGGAACCAAGTACAGTAGAACCTGCTAAAGCCAAAACTTGTATAAGGCAGAAACCTCTCAGAGAAGGAAAACTAAAATATTTTTCCACTAATAGAAAGTGGTAGACTGCACCCCGCAAGGCAGAAAACTTGCGAGACCAAGAAAAACAAGGCAGTCCTGTCAAGTTCCGGCTTTCACCGGTTTCACCATATTAGGCTAAAGAGGAATTTAATCCCCTTTTGAGCACTTTGGCGTAAGTTCCAAAAGATTCTCTTTTCTCTTTCACCACCCACATCTAAATTTTAGTGAGATAAACACACAAGGAGCCATAATGACAAATGGTTCAATACAGAATGGGTTTCCAAAACTGTTTAATCCTGGGGTTTCAGAAACTAAAGTAGCCTCCCTTCTAGTCAGAGTGTTACCTTCTCTTACTGAAGCGATTCTTAAACCTCCACCCACAGCATGCAAAAACATCACCTGGAGAGTTTGTTGAAGAGGAGATTGTCAGACCCAAGTCCCAACGTTTCAGATCCAGTAGGTCTGAAGTGGAGCCCAGGTGATGTGAATGCAGTTGCGCAAAGACTATACTTTAAGGAAATACTCCTTTAACTTACCCGCTCAGCTCTCCTGAGGGAGAAATGACTTCTGCTAGATATGAAGGCCAATGACACATTTGATTGAAATATTATGCATATGAAAGACATTTGATCAACATTATGCTCCCTGCAGCATCAGAAAAATGAATCTTACCAAATACCAAGATGAGATCTTTGCCAGGACTTACTGGGATTCTGTTCTCAAACATTCACTCATCTGGCTCTTTCCTTATTGGCAGGATCTCCCAGCTGTCCAGCCCCGGCTAGTCGCCGTCAGCAAAACCAAACCTGCAGACATGGTGATTGAAGCATACAGTCATGGCCAGCGCACTTTCGGGGAGAACTATGTAAGAGCTCTTTTCCATAGTGCCTTTGGAAGAGGCACGATTGCCAGGCTTCTGACTTGTTCTGTTTTGACCCTTAGGTTCAGGAACTGCTAGAAAAAGCATCAAATCCTAAAGTAAGTAGACATCTGAATTCCTTAGTTTATGTATAATCTTGGCTCTTCAGTTGAAAATTAGACCCATGTTGGTGGTTGGGTTTTAGAGCAGGATGTTGAGTTCGGGGAAGGGGATGTTTTTCACCTTGAGCCCTAAATTTTTCTTAGCTAGCTTTTTTCTTATTCAGACCTTATAGTTTTCTCTCTTGTGGCTTTTGGAAATAGTGAGTTTAGGAGTTTGCTGTAATCTTGGATGGTTTTGAGTTTGAAAGCACAGATCAGTTCCTCTTTAATTGGTGATGTCAAAAGTTGGAGGGAGTTGATGGGAAGAAGGGGGTGGAGAGAAAAAAGAACAAGAGCTTTAAGGTTTTTCTCTTAAGTATCCTTTCATCTCATTAGGAGGCTGGCTGAAGATGGTAGTGATGGTTCATTGCATTTAAGTAACAGAGGATAGATATGAAAGGCAGAGGAGAGTGTGCAAGGAGTTTGAGCCTGCAAGACCGTCATAAAATCTGAGTCAAACATAGTTACTTGTTTTCCCTACAGATTCTGTCTTCATGTCCTGAGATCAAATGGCACTTTATTGGCCACTTACAGAAACAAAATGTCAACAAATTGATGGGTAAGATAAAAATCTAACTATAAAGACATAATTCTTCATAGTTACATCTCTTGTACTAACTACCTTCTGTGGCAGAGAGAACAGTTTTTAAAATACATGGAGTTCATTATTTGTGTTTTGGAGTTTCTTTTGGGAGGGAAGTCTTACTTCTTAACAAAAGGAGAAAACATCACAACAAGAGCAGAGTGAACTCTTAATTACCTGGATTATAGATACTTAGATACCTAGCCTATTTCTTGTTAGGTATTATTTGTCAGTCTTTCAAATAAATTGTAAAGAATTATTGCCCATAAAATTTTTCAGCTTGCAAAAGAGACGTTTCTGTCCTTTTTTGCCTTAAACAAAGAATAAAATTAAGAATTAACTACAGAAAGACTTAACCATATGACATGACACATGAAGCTCTTCTTGAGTAGCTGAATACTTATTTCTCTCAAGGTCAGAATTTAAAATAACTTTTTTTTTAAACAACATTATCGAAGCATGACTGACATATTTTAAAATGCACACATTTAAAGTATACAATTTGATAAGTTTTGACACGCATATGTATACGTATTTATGTATACATAAACCCATTGTCATCAAGTTAATTCCAACTCATAGCGACCCCATAGGACAGCCCCATAGGATTTCCAAGGAGTGGCTGGTGGATTCAAACTTCTGACCTTTTGGTTAGCAGCTGAAGGCTTAACCACTGCATCACCAGGGCTCCATATATATACATGTGTATGTGTATAGACTCATGAAATCATCACAGCAGTCAAGATAGCGAACGTATCCATCACCTCAGAAGTTTCCTCATCTTTCTTTTAAGTTCATCTGTCCCATCCATCTCCAATTCCCCTTCCCTTCACTGATCTGCTTTCTGTCATTATACATTAGTTTACATTTTTTAGAGTTTTATATAAATGGAATCATAAAGTATGTACTCTTTTTTTTGTCTGACTTCTTTCTGTTAGCATAATTATTTTGAAATTCATCCATGTTGCGTATATCAGTGGTTTGTTCCATTTTATTGTCAAGTAGTATTCCATTGTATAGACATATCACAGTTTGTTTATCCATTCAGCTGTTGAGTTGCTTCCAATTTTTTGGCTTTTACAAATAAAGTTGCTAAGAACAGTTGTCTACAAGTCTTTGTATGGACATATATCTCTTTTCCTCTTGAAATAAACTGCTAGGAGTGGAATGGCTGAATCATATGATAGGTGTATGGGTGTATGTTTAACTTTTTAAGAAGCTGCCCAACTGTTTTCCAAAGTGGTTGTACCGTTTTACATGGTACAAGAGTGCAAGTTCTTCCACATAAATCTTTTTAAATTTAGCCATTCTGACAGCTTTGTAGTGGTATCTCATCGAGGTTTCAATTTGCATTTCCCTAGGGGAACATCTTTTATGTATTTGCCATCATGTATTTTCTTTGGAAGTTTCTATTCAAGGCTTTTGCCTGTTTTCTAACTGGTTTGTTTATTTTATTACTGTTGAATTTGGAGCGTTCTTTATATATTCTAGATATGAGTCCTTTATCAGATACATACTTTGCAAATATTTTCTCCCAGTCTGTAGCTTGTCTTTCCATTCTCTTAACTGTGTCTTTTGAAAAGCAAAAGTTTTTAATTTGATCAAGTCCAATTTACCAATTTATTCTTTTTTAGAATGTGCTTTTGGTCTCATATCTAAAAAGAAGAATTTACATGGAATTGGTATTTTTTCTTTCTTAACTATTTAGTAGAATTCACCAGTGAAGCCTGGAGTTTTCTTTGTGGGAAGGTTTTTAACTACAGTTTCAATTTCTTTACTAGTCATAGGGCTTTTCGTATAATCTCTTTCTTCTTGAGTGAGCTTTGGTACTTTGTGTCTTTGAAGGAGTTTGTCTGTTTCATCTAAGTTGTTTCTAATAACACCTTATTATCCTTTTAATAGTTGTAGAATCTGTAGTAACATCAGCTCTCCTGACATTGGCAATTTGTGTCCTTTCTCTCTTCTTTTTAATGAGTATAGCTAGAGGTTTATCAATTTTATTGTCAGTTCCTCAAAAAAGTTAAACATAGAATTATCATATGATCCAGCAACTCCACTATTAGATATATACCCAAAAGAATTGAAAGCAATAACACAGACGGATACTTGTACATCAGCGTTCACTGCAGCACCATTCACAGTAGCCAAAAGGTGGCCCACCTAAATGTCTGTCTCAGTACTGCTGTAACAGAAATACCACAAGTGAGTGGCTTTAACAAACAGAAATTTATTTTCTTAGAGTTAGGAGACTAGAAGTCCAAATTCAGGGTGCTGACTCTAGGGGAAGGCTGTCTGTCTGTCATCTCTGGGGGAAGGTCCTTGTCTCTTTTGAACTTCTGTTCCTGGGCAATCTTCATGTGGCTTGGCATATCACTTCCCTATCTCTGCTTCTTTCACTTGCTTGTTTAATCTCTTTTATATCTCCGAAGGCATTGACTCAAGACACACCCTACGCTAATCCTACCTCATTAACATACAATGGACAACCCCTTCCCAAATGGGATTATAACCATAGGCATAGAGGCTGGGAGTTACAACACATATTTTGGGGGAACACAGTTCAATCCATAACAGTGTCTATCAACAGATGAAATGATAAACAAAAATGTGTTACTTACATACAATGGAATAGTACTCAGACGTAAAGAGAAATGAAGTCCTGATACATGCCACAACATGGATGCACCTTGAAAACATGCTGAGTGAAATAAGTTAGTCACAAAAGGACAAATATTGCATGATTCCAGTTATAGGAAATATCTAGAAAAACAAATATATATAGACCAAAGTTTATTAGTGGTTACCAGGGCCAAAGAGGGGGGTGGGGGAAGGAGACTCATTGCTTAGGGGTCACTGAGCTCCTTAAGGGTGGCGGAAAAATTGAGAAACGGATAATGGTGGTAGTTGAACAATGCGATGAACATAATTAATGTCACTGAAGTGTACATGTGAAGAAGAATGTTGAAATGACAAATGTTATATTACATTTATATATTTATCACAATAAAAACATAATAATTTCAATGCTAGGACTTTATGCAATAGAAAAAGGAGCCCTGGTGGCGCAGTGGTTAAAACACTTGGCTGCTAACCAATAGGGCAGCAGTTTGAACCCACCAGCTGCTCTGTGGGAGAAAGATGTGGCAGTCTGCTTTCATAAAGATTTATAGCCTTGGAAACCCTACGGGTCAGTTCTACTCTGTCCTGTAGGGTGACTGTGAGTCAGAATTGACTTGATGGCAGTAGATTTGATGTTGTTTTTTTTATACAATATAAATGATTGTACACATGCTCAAAGATCTTTCTCTAAGCTTTGTTTTCATATTGAAAAATAAGAAACAATCAAATGTCTGTTAGTAAGAGGAATAGTAAGTAAATTGTGGTCATCCGTTCTGTGGCTCCTGTAGTTTTAAAAAAGTACCAGGGGATCTGTGATACTGATCTGGAAAATCTCCACTATATATTGTTAACTGGGAGAAAGTAACCATGTGGAATAATATGTTAGTGTGATCCAATTTATGAATTAAAAAAAAGAAGAATGAAAAACTGTACATTTGTGCGTGTATTTAGTTAGATGGATAGACACTAAAATACATCTGGAAGAATCTTCACCCTGAAGGTATCACTGGTGACCTCTAAGCAAAGGGCTTCGACTTTTTACTGCGTATACTTCATATATTGCTTAATTTTTTATATCAAGCATGCATACTTTTTATAATTTTTTTTAAATTCATGTTTTTTTAAGTAAAATAGTTCGAGCTCAAATTCAGTATTAAGAAAAATGTAGAGGCAGATTGCCTTAGTTCATATCACAGCTCTATTATTTGTTAATTTTGTGGACTTTTTTAAACTACCCTTTCTGAGCTTCAGTTTCCCCATCTGTAAAATGGAGATAATAATGCTTCATGAACTTTGGTGAAGATTAAAAAGAGACAGTGCATATAAAGTAATCAGAACATTGCCTGGAGGGCTTCAGATGTACGGTGAATGTAAGCTAATGTTTCTGTTGTTGTTGTTGTTTATCTGAGGTCAGGCCGACAGAGAAGATAGTTTTGATATACTTCATCTGTTTCTCACTTAGTTTTCCGTGTGGGTCATTCTGATATCCTTGTTGAATAAGGACGTGCATATCCCAGGAAGTTCTAAGAACCTGGGGCTCTCACGCTAGGGCAGCACTTTGACTTCCAGTGGTTGTCCTTTTCTTGTCATCGTGACCTGTTTCTCTCAGTTGGAGCTCGGACTTGGTCGGACCAAGCCTGCTCTCAGGAGTTCTATAGTTAGTAGCCTCTTGAAGCCAACCCAGTTTAGACTGGATACAGACGCTGCCTGATTCTGGTGGATCAGCAAGTCCTTTTCTTTATTCGTCTTTCCTGATTAGAGAAGGCTGTCCTGACAGTCTAACGTGTATCTAATAAAACTGTCACATGATGTTCGTCTTCTCAGGAGAACTGAGATTTAACTGTCATTTTCTGGGAAATTATTTCTCCCTCTACAAGTTCAGGATTTGTTGCATGTTGCTCACTGTTGGCTCTTTCTCCTTACAGCCGTCCCCAATCTCTTCATGCTGGAAACAGTGGATTCTGTGAAATTAGCAGACAAAGTAAACAGCTCCTGGCAGAAAAAAGGTTCTCCAGAAAGGTTAAAGGTTATGGTGCAGGTTAACACCAGTGGAGAGGAGAGTAAGTAACCAGACGTAAATTGTAGAGGTTTTTTGTTTGTTTGTTTTTCCTTCCCTTAGGATGGATAAAACTAAGAGAAAATAACAGGTTGCTAACCGGAAGGTCGGCAGTTCAAATCCAACAGGCGCTCCTTGGAAACCCTATGAAGCAGTTCTACTCTGTCCTATAGGGTCGCTATGAGTCGGATTCGACTCGACAGCAGTGGATGTGGTTTGGTTTTTGGTTAAGTATCTGATGGGTAAGGTTATGGAAAGAAATCACAGACCATCAAGTAAGCGGTGTTATGTGTGATCCAGATAGCACCTGCAAACCAGTCCACAGATAATTCTTTGAGAGTCAAGAAAAAGATTGTGACTTTGACCTTCTGAAAATTCCCAGAGGTCACCATCACTCTTGAAAGGAATTGCAAAGTTACACGTATAATACTTCTCAGGTGTTAAAAACTTATTTGGTTCATGGGACATCCAAGTTAATTGGCCTAATCACATGTTTAGTGCTTCTGTTCGACCTCCTAATTGGTTGCATAGTGACTGAGGTCTTCAAAGCTTGTAGGCGACCATCCAAAGCACGACAGTTGGTCTCTATTCACCTGGAGCAACAGAGGAATAAAGAGAGTCAGGAATAGGAGGAGGGATGGAATGTATGGCTATTTGCCTCCATGAACAACTGCCTCCTTTGCCATGAGACCAGAAGAACTGGATGGTGGCCGGCTACCATTAATGAATATTTTGATCAACGATTCTATAGAGGAATCCTGATCAAAAAGAGGGAAAATACAGAACAGAATTTCAAATTCTCACGGACTCCAGACTTTCTGGAGCCATGAAGATTGGATGAATCCCTGAAACTATCGCCGTGAGATAATCTTTAAATCCTAAACCAAAAATATCCCCTAAAGTCTTCTTAAAACCAAACAGTAGTTTAGCTTAACTAGTAAAAAATGTCTGCCTTGAGCATATGCTCTTTTAAAAACTATATGGGATCAAGTTGATAACAACAACTTGAAAGATGCGATTGGAAGCTCAGGGGGCAGTGAATTTATGTTAGTGGAAGAGGAACAACTCAGAAAAGGAGGGTGAGAATGGTTGCTCAATTTGAAGACTGTAATCAATGTCACTAAATGGTACATGTGGAAACTGTTGCATTGATACATGTTTTGCTGTGTATATTCTCAACAACAAAATAATTTTTTTTTTAATTATTTAGTATTACTTTAAGGCAGAAGAGAAGAAATCATTGTGAGCACCAGTCAGTGAATACCTGTGCAAGGCTTGGGTTAACAACATAAAGTAGTGAATAGGAGCATGGGCTTTGAAATCAGACAGACCTCAGGTTTGGGCTCCACCACTTTCCAGCTTTGTAACCTTGGACAAGTTACTTAACCTCTCTGAACCTCAGTTTCCGGGGCTGACAATGATATCCTAATAGTAACTACATGAGAGAGTATTATGGGGATTGAATGTGGTAATGCAGGTAAAGCTGCTAGCACAGAACTCTGTACATGTCTCCTGTTAGCTATTTTTTAACAATAAATGTTTACAGATCAGCCATTTGCATATAACCATCAAAGCACCAGTATTGAGCAAATCATAGAATGAGGGAGTACTGGTTCAGCAGCTGTTTTCCAGATAGGCCTGGGAGTCAGACTTCCTGGGCTCAAATCCAGGTTCCATAGATCCTAGGTGTGTGACCTTGTAAAACATACTTAGCCTCTCTCTGCCTCAGTTTCCTTGTCTTTAGAATGGAGGGGTAAGATTACTTACCTCATAGTTATTGTATTAAATGAAAAGCTCTTAGGACTTGGCGCATGTGCCTGGCACATAAGTGTTCAATAACGTTTAGTAGTCATCATTGTTATATATGCATGTACTCAGATTATAGCTGCATTGTACCATCAATATAGGTAAATCCAAAATAGATTCCAGATCAGATGTTTGTTACATCATTTCTTGATAATTAGCTGTGATATGCCCTAATCAAAGATTGAAGTGAATATTCCTAGCATCTCCATTTGATAAATGAGACCAGGGCAAGGCAATATTGATAATCCTTATAACAAGTAGTCATTTGCTACAGATTCCTCCTCTACTTGTTAATTAAGAAGTTCAGTTACATTTTGCAAATATCTACTTTAATACATGCTTCATTTTAATTTTTTTACAATTCTATTAATAAAACAGTAAAAATGCCAGATTTAGAAAAATAATTCTCAGGTTCATCTGAAATTTAGGCGATGTGAGTCTTCTTGGTATCCCAAGAAAAGCAATGTTTTTTCTTCTCCTGCTACCTTCACTGTCCTCACAGATAGTGAGATAAAGAGAATCTAGTTGATAACTTTCCTTGAGAAATTCAGAACCGACCAGAAGGAGAGCAGCACAGAAAAAGATCCCAGGTATAAAGTTACTCTTCAGGACTTGAGAAATAAGTTCTTTCAAGAGGTCCTAGTGTCTGGGAGTCAGCTCCTCTGTTATAGGAAGGGGTGAAATGGAGCCTTCTGGCTATTTAAAACATTTGGTATATGTCTCTTCTCTTTCATTTTGTGAAGATAAACATGGCCTTCCACCTTCAGAGACGATAGCCATGGTGGAACACATAAATGCCCAGTGCCCCAGTCTGGAATTTGTGGGGCTGATGACCATAGGAAGCTTTGGGCATGATCTTAGTCAAGGACCAAATCCAGACTTTCAGGTACTGAGGGGCTGGGGTGATGGGGTGAGGGGTGAGGGGACAGATTGCTCACTGCCTAAAGAAGCGTCTCAGTAAATGCTGCTTCAGGCTTTGCTATTGTGTCAGCTTCAAAGGCATGCCAGGCGTTGCCTGTCAGAATAACCCTCTTGTGAAGACTGTGCATAAGGAAGGGGGAAGAACAGCTTTCCAGAACCCTACAGACCTTTCTCAATTCAATTTGACCATGACTAGAATACAGTGGAGCCCTGGTGGCGCAGTGATTAAGAGCTCGGCTGCTAACCGAAAGGTTGGCAGTTCGAATCCACCAGCTGCTCCTTGGAAACCCTATGGGGCAGTTCTGCTCTGTCATATGGGGTCACTATGAGTCGGAATCGACTTGACAGCAGTGGGTTTTTTTAGAACACAGTATTTAGAGAAAATGAACTTCCATCCTCTCCAGTGGCAGAGTTTTCTTGAAAGTGGGAGAGTTTCCTAAAAGCCCTTTTAGTAACTTCTGGCAAATTTGACAGAGCTAAAAACCATGAGGAGTAAATACCCTTTGTCAGAGATGCTGAGATTCAGCCACTGTCAGGCATCCTTAGAGAAGACAGGAACAAAGTAAGTGTCACACGTGTCTTTCTGTCAGGTATTATTGTCCATCCGGAAGGAGCTGTGTAAAACGCTGAACATCCCCATTGACAGGGTTGAGTTGAGCATGGGCATGTCCATGGACTTCCAGCACGCAGTAAGTGACCTTCTGGGCACCCTTACCTGTCTCAGTAGGGTCCCGATAGTGGTTCTCAGCTGTTCTAATGCCCACCCTCTCCCGCATCCCTTCTGTCTTAAAATGAAATTCATAGAAATTATAGCCTATCTGATGCATAATTTTTTTAAATCAATGTAATTCCTTAAGTGCAATATAATGGAGAATAAGAAGAAAGTAAATTATAATTTTTTAAAGGCATTTCAATATGGAAGTGCTTGGGCATGGCTATCTGACAAAGGCATAATAAAGTGGTCAGGTGCTTACTATTACCTGGAGACTCACCGTGAATGCAGCAGCTGTAAATGCAGATTGATACAGGTGTGCTGTGTGTTGGCAACTCAAATACATGATTTTCTGAAACAGTGAGTAACTTGATAAAGTTCCAAAAAGGTTATAAAGTATAACCTTCCCTCTGTTTATGCAGTAGTTGCATTCCTGGGAAATTGACTGTGGATTAAAACAGTGCAAAAATACTTTGTGTTTATAAGTAAAATGAAATTAGATCCTATGCCGAGAGAGTTTGAAACAGGTTTTTCATCTCCCTGATCACGGAACATTAGAGAGGCATGTGGGCTGTCAGACAAGTCTTGGTTGTGCTGCTATGTCCCACACATTGCGGGACATCTAACATCCCTGGAGCCCACCCAACTAAATGCCAGTGGTCCTCCCCAGGCACTGTGAAAACCAACCAAGTCCATACTTCTTAACCACCCCCTCAGAGGAGGTCCTGCCCCAATGAGAACCACTGCCGGGTAGTCATCCTCAGTTACATCATCATTGTTCTTCACAGAAGCCCCTCAAGAACAAGAATGAGAGGTGCACCCACAGCGTTTGCTGCCTTTCATTATTTTAAACTGAGTTCTCCATACTTTCTCTTCTTTCCCCCAGATCGAAGTGGGATCTACAAATGTCAGAATAGGAAGCACCATTTTTGGGGAACGGGATTACTCAAATAAACCTGCCATGGACAAATCCGCAGCAGACCTGAAGGCCTCAGAACACTGAACAAGGAACAACCCGGCAGTACCTCACAAGCTGTGGGCCCTGTCCAGGAAGACTTACTATGCACTAACCTAGAGTTTAATTTTGATACTCTCCGTGTTACAGCACAACCGTGCTCTCCCATGACCTGGTAGAGAACACTAAGATTATTCATGTTGACAGAAATCATCTGTTCTTAGTCTCTGACGTGGGAAGCTCACTTCAAGCAGTGTTTTGGATTGGATTTGCGGAAGGCGTTCAATATTGAATCCCAGCCAGGAGCACCAATCATAAATGCCTTTCCAGGTTAAAATTTGGTCACTGATGCCTCTAGTCGCTGAAGTCAGAGGGCTTCCCGTGTGTCATCCCACTTTAATAGAAAATTCCCACATAGTTACCAGCTTCACACAAGCTCCCACTGATTCTTCACCTTTGCTGCTCTGGAACAAGGTGATTTCTGCCGAGTTTCTACCCTACTGAATTTATTTGGAGATATTCTCTACTCTGGAATGGCAGTATAGGGAACTTCAGGAAATCGCTCAAGTTGATTGTTGCTGATAAGAGCTTGTGTCATTAGCCACCCTGTAGTATTGACCCTGAAAATCGCAGGGGTGGCATAAGTAGGACTTGAGCCCTCCTGTCATCCTCCTGAAGAGACAGAGCCTTGCGCTTTTTCCCCTGGGATCTGCACTGATGAGAATGTAACACTTTCTCCTCCACCATAATCCTGTTTATGGCGGTTTTTTATCAGCAACAGACCCGTGAATCTCATTGCTCCCCAGAATGGAAGATTCCTTCAAAGCCAGTTCAAGCACGTAGTTTCAGTGAGTCCTGGCTTTGGGTGTCCTCTCCCCAAGGAGCACGTTCCAGCCACACTTACAGCTTCCCTGCTGTATTAATAAGGTAGCATTTTGCAACTCTTCTTGATGGTCAAGAAAGTAGCAAGATCTTCAAAAACCAGAAAGCACGACTCTCAGTCGTGACAGATGGCTTCATTGTGCACAGTTGTTTATTTTCTAGGAGGTTTTTCTCATTTATTCAAGCCTCAGTCTTTAGTTTTATGAAAGAACGTTCAGGACGTGACACTGCTGCTGAATGTAATTTTGTAAAACAAACCATTATGATGCCTGTACTGTTTCAAAGCTATAGTGTGGTATTTCAGAGTCTATTAAAAATGTGCAATTGAATTATACCATCTGTGCCAATTACAAAGCAATTAAAAGAATTTATTTTTTATGATCTGATGGAGTGAGTGAGTGTAACAGGAGGCGCATCCTGCCAGCCTGCCTGTAGAGGCAGGCTTCCCTTGGGTCACAGATGCAGCCAGAGGCAAGCTGTGGACCAAGAGGAATCCTGAATTTCTAAGGGCATGAAAATGAAACGCTGATGTTCCAGCAGGAATTAACAGAAATAGAGGTTACCTCTTGCACCCCTGGTAGCACAGTGGTTAAGAGTTTGGCTGCTAACCAAAGGGTCAGCAGTTTGACTCCCAGCCGCTCCAGAAACCCTGTGGGGCAATTCTACTGTCCTGTAGGGTCGCTATGAGTTGGACACCTTGACAGCTGTGGGTTTGGTGTGGGTTTCTTGCAGCAAGGAACTCCTGTGAAGTGCCTCTAGATGGCGACCTTGGCTAACCTGAGGAGCAAGCCCCCGGGATCCAGTCGGCAAGTCCCCCTGGAAGGGATTCTTTTGGTTGTGGTGTTTCACTCCCTCTTTTTAAAGGAAAAGATGGAGGCTGGGGAGGAGGTGGTTTTTCCCAGTGATCAGCTGGCCCTTGCCACACCCCTAGGTCCTTTCAACTACCTCATGTCTTTGCTAACTTGGCTAAGGGTTCTGAGGGTGGCTGCGGAGAGGTGGAGTGGTTTGAGCTATCAAGGTCTCTCTCCCTTGTGCCTGGACATGGAGAACAAGGAGAGGAGGCGAGCCAGGGGAGGCTGAATCACATCCAGATAAGGAAAAGAAAGAAAAGTATGTAGGTGCAGTGAACCGACCCACAGCAGGCCAGGACTTTTTCGGAGAGAAAATTGAGCAAAGGTGTGACTGTCTTCTGCTGCTCACAATAGGCAGTAGGCTAGTTTACTCCCAGGGTGGTACAAACAGCGCAACGCTGGAGTACTAACCAAAAGATTGGTGGTTCAAAGCCATTCCGAGACTCTTTAAAAGAAAGGCTTAGTAATCTGCTTCCAAAGGAATCAACTTTTTTTTTTTTTTTTTTTTGCAGGGGACAGGAGGGTGATTGCTTTTCATCAAAGCAGTGATAGCATCCCACAGCAAGTTTCCTAAGTTAGGCAGCATTGCTCTCCTGGGTCAGACCCCATGCAGTCTAGCAGCCTCCCTGATGATGCTGCCAGAGGCACTGGGCCCTTGTCTGCCCTGCCGCCAGCCTCAGAAGGCTTAGGATGCCCGAAGACCTCCCAGTAATCCACCAAGGCTTTGTCATCCTGGGAAGTCTTTCATCCATTCTGCCTGTTAACCTCTCTCAGCAGCACCTATTGTGGACAGGGGAGCTGAAGCCCAGAGAAGGTTCAGTGCCCTCCTGGTCTGAGGTCAGGGTGAGTTGGTAGTGGGGGCCCAGAATAAACGCAGGACTCAGGTTCTGATCCAGAGCTAGGTCATCACACCACACTGGTATCTGTCATCTCAGACTAATCGTTGATGAACAGCATATTCTTAAAATTGCAGGTTTAGTTTAAGAGAACCTTACGTACCCTAAAAGATTCATGGCTTTAGACTGTTGCCATAGTTGAGAATTGACACATCTGAATGCAGAACAAACTTTGAAACCACAAGCAGCAGGGGTGCGAAGGAAGGAGAGAATTAAACCCAGCAATGGGTGGGATTAGCCTTCCCTTCCTCCCTCCCTTCCCATCATTCCATTTCCCTAACACACACTCCTCCTCCAGATTCAAACTACCCCACAGGCTGCCGGGCTCGGAGTGTGGGAGAATGATGTCCTTCTCCCCCTGGTAGCTAGACTGGCAATGAATTCTCCGATGCTAGACACCGTTTGGAGGAATGAGGGAGAACAGGACATTCTAGGACAGCTGGGGGTTCGTACTCCCCGTCTGACCCTCAGAAAAGAAGTGCCCCTGCACTTGGCACCAAAGCTTTGAAACAGGAGGGACTCACTCTGCCACTTCCTGAAGGGCTGGAAGAAGGGTAGGATTTCATCTGTGCTGCAGTTGGAAATGATTTGCTCTGGGAACTGTGACTGTCTGTGACGGTTAAGGTTACGTGTCAGCTTGGCTAGGCCAGGATTCTCAATAGTATGTAGATGTTATGTAGTCATCCTCCATTTTGTGATCTGATGTGAGCAGCCAATCAGTTTCCTTGGGGGTGTGGCCTGCATCCAATATATATGGATGTTCCGGCAAAGCTCTCTCTGGATCCTGCATCCAACTCATCATTCTCTGACCTCTAGTTCCTGGGACATGAGCCAGCAGCCTTCCGCCTGACCTGCTGATTTTGGGTTTGTCAGCCCCTGCAACCACATGGGTCAGGAGAAGCCTCCAGCCTGATGCCTGACCCCATGGATTTGGGATTTGGGACTTGCCAGCCTCCACAGCTGTGTAAGCCATTTCCTTGAGATAAATCTCTCCCTCTTTATATATGTATAAAGATATATATACATATATATATACACACACACATATATGTATGTATACATAAGCTTCACTGGTTTTGCTCCTCTAGAGAACCCAGGCTAAGACACTGTCTTTACCATGAAATCAGTTGCATGCTATTACATCAACTTCATAACTAAGGGCAAAAGAATCCAAACCATCCACCAAAATGTTTTACTGATCTGCCCTTCCCTCAACAGGCACATAGGTAAGAAAAGGGATTCTTCTGCACGCAGTTTGCAACAACAGGTATACACTATGGCTGCGTGTGGTTGAGTAGCTATTTACAAGGTAAACCAGTTGCCTTCAAGTCAATTGCAACTCATGACAGCCTCATGTATCAGAGTAGAACTATTCCATACAGTTTTCATGGCTGTGACCATTTGGAAGCAGATTGCCAGGCCTTTCTTCCAAGGTACCTCTGGGTTGGTTCAAACAACCAACCTTTAGGTTAACTGAGCGCCTAACCATTTGTGCCACCCAGGAATTCCATTCACAAGGTAGAAGATTCTTAATCTTAAGTTCCTCACCTATAATAATATGGAGGTCCCCGGAGACCTCGGAGCTGACATTTTTTTCCCTACAGAGTCCATCACAGATGAGCTGAAATGGAGAGAATTTTTGGTACATTTCTTGTATTTAAAATAAATTCTACAAGCTCAAGTTCCTGAGCTCTGAGATCACCAAGGAGCGGAAGCCACCCTTTGAGTGCTGGAGCACCTTCTCGAACAGTTGCGCTCACTAGCCAGCGAGCTGGATGCACTCCGTGCAAGTATATGCCCCACCCCATCCTCAAGAGGAGCCACGCTGCTCTCCAGTTTCGGAGCTAAGCTTGACCTAGCTGCCAATCTCCAAAATAAAATCAATGTGTGACCTTATTCACCAGATGTACCGAAGAAACAAGCACAAACTAGGGCCAAATTTGAAGCCAAAAAGGGAAGATGAGAAGTGGGAGAGAGAGAAAGGGGCGGGAGGGGGGGAACTTGGCTGGACATGAAAGGTGTCTTGTCTGTCTGTTCCCCATTAGGCGCAATTCTCTAGCAATCTGCAGCCTCGACATCATAATTCTGACCAGAAACTCTCCGGAGAGAGAGTGTCAGAAGGAAAAACAAACAGAATAGCATCTTCTGACAGCAAAGTCACTTAAAAACCTATTTGGGGGAGGGAAGAGGAGAGATGTCAGCATGTCAGGGAAGGGCACTCCCTCACAACAGGCCACATGTGGAGAGTCGTTTATCCTGGGACTCACAAGGACCAGGACGGGAAGAGGTTGACGAGCATGACCAGCCCAAGCCAGGCTGGGAAGCACAACTCCAAATCCTTCTGCCCTCCCAGCTCTTCCGATGCCTCAAAACCTTCCTTGTCTGGCTTTCTGAGCTGTGGACTCCACAATCAGGGAGGGCGCAGGGCCTTTTACAGCCCCCCGGTACGCTGCGAGGAATTTAGAAGCGTTGCATGAGAAAAAAGTGGTCCCAATTTGTCATAACTCCACTCTCCCATTCTCTCCACTGCCAGCCGCCAAAGGCTGAGAACCCAGCTAGCCCCTTTAGCTGGCAGCGATCTCCCCAGGCAGCAAAGGCCTGTTCTTCGCCCTGTCTTTGAGTTAAGCAGTCTAGTATTCGGGACGCCGGGCCCCACCCAAGCCTTCAGGAGCTGACGGGGCTGGATTGGTGGGGGCGGCAGTGCAGGGCAGGAGAGGGAGGCAGTTCTCCGCTCAGGTTTCTGGGTCAAGCGTCCTGTTATAGGAGAGAACTTTTTTTTTTAGAGGAAGAAACACTAATCAGAAGAAAGAAGCATGAGCTTTTCCCTCCCTGCCTTTCAGACTTGTTTATTACTAGGATATCTGATTTCAGCAGAGGAAGCCGGCACGAAGCAAGGTTTTATTGGCTGTGAGCAAGAGGAATTCAGGGTTTGCCTTTGATTTGGCTCCCCCAGAGCATGAGGCACCAAAGAGTGCTCACTGCTTTGATGGCGCACCTTGGTGCTCTGGGGCTCCCAAAGCTCTCTGCTTCTGCAGCACTGACTAAAATTCCCTTTGGAGGATAAGGATGGAGCAAGGGGACCTGAGTGGAAGGAGGTCTTGCAGACATTTCAGAGAGGAAACCAGAATAAGAGACAAAAGTGAAAACGTTCTGAATTGGCTCCAAGGGAGCTAAGTGAGGGGCGGTCCCCTGCCTCCCTTCCCTGCAAGTGGAGAGGCAAGGAGGGAAGGTCTGGTTTGGATGAAAGCACAGTGTTTCGAGTCTTGTCTATAACTGACAGAGTTAGGCAGGCTGCAGTCGAGGGCCTGGGGCCTGATGGTTTCAACACGTGAGGAAGATAAAGCCAGAGATTTGCATGAGGCAGCCTCTGTCAGCATTACTCCTCGGCCGGGCGGGGCCGTGCTCTGGGGGGCGGATCCCAGCTGGGCTGCAGGCTGACAGAGCTGCTGCCGATCCTGAGGGCTCCCCACAGACACTTCTTGCAGAGAGAGCCGCTGTCTGGGGTCTGGAATCCAAACCAGCCCTATTTTACCCTAGGCCAGCCTAGCTGTCCTTGCCTCCGGCTGGTGCCCACCGGGGAACATGTCATGCACTGGGGAGGGAGAAAAAGGATGTCTCCATTTGAGAGCTCAGCTATCTCTCTGTCTTTTTCGTCTCTGTATCCTATCTCTATCTTTCCCTCTGATCACCCTCATTACCTTTTTCCCACAAACCACTGGTGACAGGAAGAACCCCAAAGTGAGCATACTTTGCCTTTCCACTTTGACCAGCCCCATTGGATGGGG